AACAACAACAACAACAGAAATGAATAAGGAAAATGTTAATTTGTCTGACAATAGTAATAAACATCAAATTTTATAGTCAAAAATTTTTTTTTTTCATCATAAAACGATCATAAAATATAATGAGGATTTTGTATTCATTTTCTTTTCTGTTTTTCGTTTGAATATCCTACCAAATATTCATTTGAATAATATGTATGGATGGATATAAAAAGATTTGGTTTGTTTGTTTATCTCAATATCTTTACATGATGATGATGATCATTTCATCATGCTATAAATATTTGAATCTGTTTTTGGTGCCGAAAAACAGTTGACTAAACACCTTACCACCCCTTCCGAACAAACTTTCTTGGTTGCTGATTTCTCCCATGTACTCTGTTGTTGTTGTTGTTGTTCATGAACCATGTTTATCGAAGCATTTGACATAAATATTTTTTAGTTTTGTTATATAATCTGAACAAAGAGCAAACCATTTTTTTCCATATAGATTATTATTTTCTGTTAAGCTAGTTTAAATCTATAGAAAGAACATACAAACATACAAACAAATGTTTGAATTATCATCATTTTGGAGATCATTTTTTTCATTATGATTATGATTAATTAGTTTCATCATGATGATGATTAATAAATGACAAAAAGACACAATTAGTTCATTGGATATATTTCATTTGGTCCAATTATATTATCCCAAAATCACAATGTCCCAGAAACTGACAAAAAAAAAATCTATAGATTTATAAAATGAATTCGATTAGAACATGCGTACATCACTATTAACCATTATTGTTTTGATATTAAACAATCTAAAAATAGTTATATCATCAAAAAACGAAGAAGAAGAAGAAGAAAAAGAAAGTTCCGTCTTGATCCATCACCAACGATAGACAAAGATAGACATACACACACACACAGTTTTCATTTTCATTTACACTGTATGTGGATTATTTTTGATGTTTTAATTTTATTTTGTTTCATCATCATCATCATCATTATCATCATTATCAACAACAACAACAACAACAACAATAATTCCTCGAAATCCAAGACATTTGCTGTTTTACGATTGAATGAACGATGATGATGATGATGATGATGATGATGATGATGATGATGAGAAATTAAAGATTCATTTCGTTGAGAAAACAAAAAAAATTTTTCTCCCGAAAAAACCAACAGATAAAACATATTATCTGGATGACAATTAATTTTACTACCATATGTATATCATGGTAATAAAAATCTGTATATAATTGAATGAATGAAATAATTTTGTATAATTTTCAAATCAATCGTAAATCTTGATATATGATTTTTATTTTATTTTCTGGTTTCCGGATCGTTGGAGAAAAAACGAGAGAGAGAGAGAGAGAGAGAAAAATTCATATGATCATGATGATGATGACAATTCATTCAAATTCAAAATCAACAGGTCAACACACCTTTCGCATGTGTGTGTGTGTGTGTGTGTGTGTGTGTGAGTGTTATGATATAAGATTTTAATCTCAATTACATAACAATTTCTCAGGTCTATCGATATTGGCCATCATCATATACAAAAAAAAAAATGTAAACATCTGACCACCACCAATAGACGATGATGATATTATTTGTTATTTGTATTTTTTTTCAATTTAATTTGCTATCAAGAGAGATGGTTATTATGTGATTCTCGAATATTCACACCTGACACATACACACACACACACACACAAACACATAGAACAAAATTGATTGACATGAAAAGAAAAACACTACTTTTAGTGCAAAGTCAAGAAAAAAAAGGTCAAGTTCAATCATTGTTGTGGATCTCTATTGATCATTACGATAAATTGAATGATGATCGGTCGATCACAATTGGCAATCATCATCATCATTATTATTACACAAACATCATCGTTTTCTTTCGTTCTTTGATGAAAAATTTAAAGAATTTTTTCTTTCCATTCATTTCTCTTTGAATTCAAAATGTTTGTTGCTGTTGTTTGATTACAAAAAAAAATTCATTGCAACAAACAGCACTTAACATATTCTCATTCATTGTATTCTGATTCATGATGAATTTTTTTTTCCATTTCATTTCATTTCATTTTGTTTATTTTATCATCATCACAATATAACCAGACTTTAAGAAAAAAAAACAACAACATTTGATTTGGCATTCATGAATCGTTTTTCAACACTTATTCTTTTTGATCATGTGAAATTCTTCTTTCTTCAACAACAACAACAACAAGAATAAAAATGATTCTAAAAGCTTGGTAACGTCATTGACATTGAATGTGTGTGTGTGTGTGTGTGAAAAAAACGAAAAATTTTGTTTAGTTTTTTTTCTCATTGCTGTCTTAACATCTGTGATTCTCATCATCATCATCATCATTCAAGAATTCTTGAATTCTCTCTCTCTCTCTCTCTCTCTCTCTTCAGATTCAATGTTTTGGATTATACAAACAAAAATTTCTTGAAAATTTTTAAAAGTTTTCTTCTTCTTTTTCTTCGCATTTTTCAAAACATGTGTGTGTGTGTGTGAAAAAAAATTTATTTCCATCAATCTTTGATTTGATATCAAAGAATATAAAAATCAATTAAAGAAGAAGAAGAATAAAAATTTGTTTTGTTTTGCTCGATTTTCATCATCATCATCAAAACAACAATGGGTGTGCCTGTTTCGAAATTGAATAATATTTCACAACCACTACAATCATCATCGATTGGAATGGTATTGTTAGTGGATAATGATGAAAATAAAAATTCAACATCATCCTTATCATCATCATCATCATCATCATCCTCTACTTCTTCAGAGATCGAATACCGACTTGCTTCTTGTAATAATGTCGATGATTGTAATGAATACAATAATGAAGATGATACTAATCATCATGAATATATTGTTGTTAATAATTATTGTGATAATAATCAATTTGATCAACTAAAATATATTGATGATTCAAGTGCTGAAACAGTGATATCGAATCAACAAATTAATAACAACGATGATGGTAATAAATCGATATCAAATTCCATTGATAATAAAGTGGATGATGAATCACAATTACAAGATAATGATAGCGGTAATGCATCAATATCCGATAATCATAGTGATGATGAACAACAACAACAACAACATAATCCAAATGCTACAAAACTACGAAAAAATTATTCCATAACAAATAGTTTCAATACATTGAATTTGATTGATAATAATAAATCAATAATGATGAATCAATTTATATTACGAAGACATTCGACAACAAATACAAATTTGAATAACAATCGATTATCATTAGAATCATCATCGATTGTAGAGAAATTTGAATATTCGAAAAAATTTTCATTATTAATTGAAAAACTAACCAATGGTGATTTGATTGAAATTCGTTGTGTTTGTAATTGTCAAAAATCACCATTATTAGGTAGAAATGTTGAAAATTTTATACGTTCATCAACAACAATGATACATTCAAATAATCGCCAAAGATTTCGACGATCATTACATCGACAAAGTTTTATTCAACGACAAAATTATCAAAAATCCATGACTATTGGACATTCAATGATACTGGCGAATAAACAAAAACATCAAAATCGTCGTAATCCATTTCAATTATCAAATTTATGGTTAGTTGGTAGTTCTTGTGTTCGTGGTTCAATGGATGATGATGATGATGATGATCAGCATCATATATCCACACGAATTGAATCAAATACATTGAATACAGATTCATCTACATTAAATAGTAGTGATTATTGTAGTGAACAATTTCATTATGTTTATGTTGATCGTATTGATCATCATCATCATCATCATGATAAAATACAATCACAATCACAACAACAACAACAACAACAAACACCAATAATATGGTGTTTTCATGTGAAACCTTTTCATCGTATGATATTATTGGATGATAATCATCGTAATGTAGGCATTATACGTCATGAACCATTAGATATGATCATTTCACAGATAATGTTTGAAACAAAAGAAAAACATTGGCAACTAATTGGTGGTAATCATCACCATCATCATCATTATCTTCGTCGTCGTCATCATCATAATCATCATCAAAATGGACAAATTAAATCGGCAAAAATATCAATCGATTATCAGATAAGAAATCAATATAAATTTAGTCAAAGAATTTTGAAACAAACATTAAATGTTATTCCAAATGTTGAACAAATAAGAAATATATTGATAGAATCAAAAGATTCTTATGTTCGTTATAATAAAACATTATTAAATAGTGAACATTATGTAACATTATGGAAATATGGTATCGGTTGGAGTACCTGGGCTAATCAACGTTGCGATATACTACGTACAATTCGTTTGTTTGTTGAAAGATTTTCTACACTAGTCATACCGGATGATAATGATCATGATCATATTGCATCAAACATAAATACATCATCATCATCATCATCATCATCAACATCGAAAATTCTTTTACAAAATGGTGAATGTCTTTTATTATCATCATCATCATCATCATCATCGATGGAAAATCAATTGCAAACAAATCTAATTGTACAATGTTTTGGTCTTCAAGATCGTAAAATTAATCATGCTATTCAACAATGGATCCAATGGCAAGTGGTTATTAATAATAAAAAATTTAATAATAATTATCAACAACAATCACCATCATCATCAACATCATCACCACCAATAGTGATGATGAATGATGATGATGATGATAATAATAAATGATAAAACTATTGATGATTCGAATGTTTCATGTCATGATGTCGATGTCAAAAATGATGATGTTGATGTTGTTGATGATCATCCAATACAGCAAAAATCATAATCAATTTTTATTTTTGCTGTTCATAATGAATTTCATTTTTGTTTTGTTTTGTTTTGTTCATATATATTCAATTTTAATATCATTATCGATTGATTGATTTTTCGGTGTTCTAATAATAAAGAAATTATTGATTCCATGAAATAATAATAAAAAACTGAATTTCAATATTTATACACACACACACACACACACAGCCAATATATTTGATTTCAAATTTCTATTTCGACATTATCGAGCTGGCAATGTGTAATTAGAACGAAAAAAGCTCATTTTTTTAACACTGCATTTTTTGTGCTATTGTTTGTTTCATATATTCAAATTATATTTGGTTTTCATTTCGAAAACAGTAAAAAAAAAAGATTTTCTATTATCGTTACAACAAAAATGGACGATATAGTACCGTTTAATATCCATATCACTAATGATGTTGATGATGATGATGATGATGATGATGATGATGATGTTGATGATGATGATGAAGATGATAATGAAAAAGTTTATGGTGATGATGATATTAATTCAAATTTTATGTTAAAAATAATTGATCGTATCAAAATACGTTATGGAAAACAACCGGCACACATTTGTTCACCCGATTGTTTACGATTATTTCCAGATGATAATCAATCAGATTTTTGGCTATCAAAAAATCCATACCTGAAACCAATGGTTAAAAATTTTGCACGTATAGCTGTAAAAAATCCAACAAAACGTTCGATTGAAATATGTTATATTTCACCTTGTGGTAAACCATTAACAACAATTGAAAACATCCAAAAATATCTTCTACTAACCAAATGTATGGATCTGACAACGATTAATTTTACATTGTCAAAAAATTTTGTTCTTCAAAAAATATCCATACAAGAAAAAGCACCAACCATAATGGATATTTCGAATGGTCTTGAACCGATACCGATATCAGCCGTAAATTCGATTACAAATAAACCATTCAATTCTAGTCGTCGTTATATCAAAAATTCCGTTTATGAATCAAAAACATATCTAAATGTTAAACATATTGTCGATAATATTAATCAATGTAATGATGATGATTGTTCAACACTTTGTCATAGTAGATGTAAATGTGCAGGAGGGGTATGTGTGTTTATTCAGAAGAAAATTTTTTTGTTTTGTCATCAAAGTTTCTCATGATTTGTTTTTTTTCTGTTTCATTCTAAATACAGGATACAAGTTATCGTTATAAACGTCTATTTCATTATTCATCGGAACCAATTTTCGAGTGTACATCAAAATGTGGCTGCTCAATACATTGTATGAATAAGGTTGCTAGCCTCGGTATTCAATGTGAATTTCAAGTATTCTTTTCTGGTATGAAAGGTTGGGCTGTACGTGCTACACATTTCATATCGAAAGGAACGTATGTATTTTCATATGTTGGTGAATTAAGTCAAACAAAATATCATAAAGAAAAAAAACTTGGTTCCGATGAATATACGGCAACTATTGGTGTATATGAAAAAAATGAAAAAGGCATATTACGTATCCATGATTCAACTGAATATTCTGGTTGGTATAATATATAACATATTTTATTTAGAAATTTTCATTTCATTTTTGAATTTAATTTCTCAATATATATTTTTTTTCAATATATAGATTCCGATGAAATCGATTCACATGTAATGCTATTGGAAGGTTTATCTGAATCAAATCTAGCATGTTATGTAAATCATTCATGTAATCCGAATCTATTCTCACAATTAGTGGTCATCGAGAATGGCCATGGACAATTAGTACCAACATATGGTTTATTTGCCATACGAGATATAAATCCATTCGAAGAATTATGTTGGGATTATCATTATTCATTGACAGAATCATTGCCAATGGATTGCCATTGTGAAGCAACAAATTGTAATATTTTATTACGATAATTATTATTATTATATTATTATATATTATGCAGAAGAGAAAAAAAAACAAACAAACAAATCTAGTATCTTCTTTTTATCTCAATCTTATTTTATTTCATAATTATTATCTCAATTCTCAATTATTATTTTTATTTATTTATTTATTATATCAATTTCATTCAATTTACATCTTGTTTTTTTTTTTTTTTTTCCTACATTTTTTTTTCTCTCTCTCACTATCTCTTTTATATATAGGTCATCATTGTGTAAAATGTCTTAAAGATAAAGAAATTTTTGTCATTTCTTTTAATTTCATTTCCGGATCTAATCAATATATTGATTGTTACATTGGCAGGTCCATCTACAGTAGTATTAAAAGAAAAGTTTCAAAATTCAAATTTCATTTTAACATCATCATCATTACCTTTAGTCAATGTTTGATTAGTACCGGATGGACGAATCCTTGAATCATAACGTTGACCATTTAGGGGATGAATAATTATGAGAGAGGATTATCTATCTCAATCTTATTTTATTTCATAATTATTATCTCAATTATTTATTTATTTATTATATCAATTTCATTCAATTTACATCTTGTTTTTTTTTTTTTTTTTCCTACATTTTTTTTCTCTCTCTCTCTCACTATTCTCTTTATATATAGGTCATCATTGTGTAAAATGTCTTAAAGATAAAGAAATTTTTGTCATCTGATTCATTTTTGATTCATTCATTAATTTGGAATGTGAAAAATAATAAATAATAAAGACATACATAAATATAATCGAATTCAACTTACCATTGTTACATCATCGATACTTGAAATGGATCTAATCAATATATTGATTGTTACATTGGCAGGTCCATCTACAGTAGTATTAAAATTTCAATTCAAATTTCATTTTAACATCATCATCATTACCTTTAGTCAATGTTTGATTAGTACCGGATGGACGAATCCTTGAATCATAACGTTGACCATTTTTTGTATCATAACCTTGACCAATAATTTGATCCAATATCTGTTTTTCAACTTGCCGAATATCAGCTTGACTTTGAACACTGTTTTATCATCATTTTATCATCATGATGATAATGATTGTTTTTGTTTTTCATGTTTGTTTTAGAAAAATGACAAAAAAAAATACGAAAATAAAAAAATTATGATGATACAAAGTATCAAAATTATCAATCAATCAATTTTCGATGAATGAAATAACGACAACAACAACCTATACTATGATATGATCACCTTGATGTTTTTGTTTTTCAGTGGCAATATATATATATATTTTTATTACTTACTTTGGTACATAAATGATTAATAATAATAATAATGAAAATATGATGAAAATTGAATGAATTACTAAGAAATTATTATTATTATTATCATTGAAATAATTTAATGATGGAAATATTGATGATGATGATTGATATCGATTTATTATTGGCGATAATTTTTTTGCTGATTGATGATGATGATGATAATGTTCATTAACACCATCATCATCGTCATTATTAAAATGTTTTTGCTGCTGCTGCTGCTGCTGTTGCCGATAACAGTTAATTGAATATTGTTTTTGTTGTTGATGATTCATTTTTTTTTTTTTTTTTTGCTTAATTCTATATCTCAATCCCAGTGTTTAAGAAAATTGACACCAAACATATAAATATGAAAACAAAAAAATTTCTGATTGACACTAATGTAAACAGAAAAAACGCACACACACAGTGATTAATCTACAAATTGGATATATCAAATTGATTGTGAATAACAGGAATATTTGAAAAGAAAAAAATTTTTCAAAATCATTAATGCAAATCTAGTTGACCACCACGTATAATTATTATTATCATCATCATTTAAAATAAATGGATAGCGTCCACCACCATATAATAATGATCACCAAGTTTATTTCTAGGTCTCAACATCAATACACACACACACACACACACACGAACATAGGGACATAGGGAACCACCACACCAAAAGATATATCCATCTATATATAAATAGGTTATATATGGAATTGTACAAGGACCACAAACAAACAAACAAACTAGGAAATGCGCCTGACACAATTTTTTTTTTCGTTTTGAATTCACCAAGTTCATCAGTATTGTTTTCACTTTATTTTTATATATATAGATAGATTGTACGATTCTCGAACGTTCCCGTTTTTTTTTTCTTGGCTCAATTCTTCATCGCACACACACACACACACACACACACACACAGAATTCATATTCAATATTGACGGAATTGACAACAACAACAACAACAACAACAGCAAAAAAAGATCCATTGAATTTGTTTGTAACCAAAAATTGTATCTGATTGTTTCAGAATTTCAGTTTTTATTATTATTATTCATTTTTTTTCACATTTTGTTTGTTCACTATACCGCTACCTATTACAACTCTCTGTGTGTCCTATAAAATATATCGATAAACTAGATTTCACAATCAACAACAACAAAAAAACAAAATTATCGATTTTTTTAAGGGCCAAGAATAAAAAAAAAAATCTTAAAGAATACAATTGAACAATGGAATAAATAGAAAAAATTTCTCGATTCTTGAACACGAATAGATAGAATATTTTTTTCCTGTCTTCTAGATAGATAGATTCGATTCGATTGATTTGATTTAGTTTTTCATTTCCACCAAACGTTCCAAACGTTTAGCCAATTCATCACGTAGATTTGATGTTTGCATTCTTTTCGATATAATCATTAATCTTTGTTTCAATTGTTGATCATTCAATAAACGTTCAACTAGATTTATTAAATCTTCTTGTCGATAATTGAATGGATCCAAACGTGCACCATAACCATTTTCCTGTAATCGTTGTGCATTATCATATTGATCAGCAAAAAATGGCATCACAATCATTGGTTTACCAAATAACAATGATTCCGTAACAGTATTATTACCACCATGTGTAATAACTAAATCAACTAAAGGTAATACTTTAGTTTGTGGCAAATGTTTGGCGCCAAACATATTGTCCGGTAATTTAAATCCATCATCAAAACGACCTTTTGAAACAATGAAACCATATTTAGTTTGTGATAAAATCATCAAAATTTTTTTAATCAAATCAAAACGTATTGATGCCAATGTTCCCAATGAAATATAAATCAATTTATTGTCACGATGATTATGTAAAAATTCTTTACTTATATTCAATTCTTCATTTTCGCTACGACAAAATGTATCGATACGAAAACAATTATTAGGCATTGGTGCAATATCATTGTAATCTAATTCTTCTGGAAATCCATAAATATTTAGATATGGTGATGGTGGTGATATACCATCATATGTAAGTGGTTCATAACCATAATGTTTCATTAGAAAATTTTGATTACTAATTACATAATGATGATATGTTTGTTTGAATTCTTGACGATATTTTGACCACAATGATTGATCATCAATTGGTAATCCTTAAATGTGAATTGTGAATGGTGAGGAAGGGGGAGGGTAAAAAAAATCAAAAATAGAAAAATACAAAATGAAAACTTTTTAACCATTACCTGAAAATGGTGGCGGTAAACGTTGATCATTATGGAATGAAATTGGATTACAACTAAAAATCAATACCCATGGAATGCCTGATCGAATTATGATTGGTGAAATAAGAATCTGATCAACCAAAATTAAATCCGGCTTTTCATCATGAAGAATTTCTTTCATTTGTTGTTCAGTTTGTAAAATTTCTTCGACACGAATTTCAAAAACTTTTTGAAACATTGAATATTTTTTCAATGGTTCTTTTTCCCAAAATACATCCGTTGAATTCATGAGAAAATCCACACAATCAGTTTGTCGATCCAATGGTGGTGGTGGTGTTATTGGTTCTGTTTTCAGTATAATTTCTTGAAATCCATGTTTCCGGAATTGACCACGAACATTTTCCGTTACGGCAAAGATAATTTGATGACCATATTTCAACATGATTTGTGCCACACCAATAGTTGCATTCATATGGCCCCATGATTCAATTGGATGAAATAGAATTTTCATTTTTCTTTGAAATTCAGCAGCAATAAACAGTGAGATTTTTTTTTTTGCAAACACTCGCAAAAAAACATTTGCACATTTAATTTATGCCAAAAAAAAAATTGCATTCAAAAAACAATGACGACGACGATGATAAGTGTACAACGTTTCTCGTTTAACGTCATACTTTGAATGATGATGATGATGATGATAAATAATTTGTCTATCTGTCTGATCTATTTGACTTAATACATGAATTGATTAACGAATAAAGTGAAATGATTTAAATGATGGTGATGATCATGATAATAATTCAACACACACACACACACACATATGGACATATTTATATCAAGACATCAACAGGTACATGATATTTCTTGGAATCCTTATATAAAAAAAAACGATCATTATCATTAATAATCATCATCAATGATGATCATCGATAATCATCGATGATGATTATTATTATTATAAATCAAACAACCGTTATTTTTTCATCATTCATTCATCGACATTATAATCTATTTATTAATTGATTATTGAAGTGTATTATCCCAAAGTGTGTGTGTGTGTGTGATTGTGAATTCCAATGTAAAATTCAACAAAAAAAAAATGGCAAATAAAGTAGACAAAAATGTAAAAAAAAACCAGAGAAATCCAGTACGATCATCATGATACCATTGATGCGGCGGTATACTCTCATCTTTTTTGTTCATCAATATATTCGTTGATGTCACATTTTTTTTTTTGCTCTTGGTTTCTTGGAAAAACATGAGTTCATTGGTTATTATAGCATGCTTGATTATATATGATGATTATTATTATTGATATATGCATGTATGTAATTGTAATTGATGATAAATATTGAAAAGATTCAATTTTCAAGTATTGTACATTTTTTTTTCATTCCAAAATCAATAAGCCGCCATTGCCAAATTAGGAATCTTTGTATTTTTTTTTTTTTTTGTATTTATTTATTTATATTTTAGAATCAAATGAAATCGTGCAACACACGTTGGTAATGTTGTTTATTTTTTTTTTCTGTTGTTGCCAAAAATGATGAACTATTTGTGGTGAACCAGAACAATCAAATTTCATTCATATTTCATGTTTCTATCCTTTTCTCTCTCTCTCTCTCTCTCTGAAACATTTTGGGCACACTTTTTTTTTGAATAATTATGAAATTGGAAAAAAAATCGAAAAGAGGTAGCAAGCAACAAAAATGCTGTATAAAGAAATTGAAATATTTTATTTATGATTTACTGAAATTGATTCTATGATGTGATGAAAATAGCGATTGATTCATTTAGGTAAAAGGACAGAGAATGATGGTTCATACAAATTTTACAATTTTCAAATCAAAAAAAAATTCTCTATCTCTCTCTCTCTTGTGGGGGGCTCGATCATAGAATTTTTTTGTTTGTTTTTAATTTTAATGGCCATATTTTTGAAATTCCCATTCACGATTATCCAATGGACATACTTGACGTGTTTTTAGCCATCGTGAAATACAATGAAAATGGAATGCATGATTACATACACCCCATGCTACTGTACATTCTTCACTTGCTGCTGATGCTTGATTTGCTTGACATTCAATACAAAGATCCATTATATGATTACGACAAATAGCACAATTATCGACAACAATATCCCAGGCCCAAAGTGCAACGGCACACCATTTTTTCACTTCAAAACGTTTACGTCCATGTATGGCTGATGTCGATGATGATGGCAATTCTGGTACATTCATATTTTCATTATTAGCCTCCATATCAACATCATCCACTGCCATTTCATATTCGGCCATTTTTATTTTTTTATTTGTTTTTCTTGGTGGTGGTGGTGGTGATGAGTCAATTTTTGATGATTATGAAAAAAAATTAATAAAATGAGATAAACAAACAAATATCCAAAAGTTAACAAAAAAAAATCGGTGGCTAGAGATGCTTGAAATCACTAAATTATATACGAGAAAAAAAACAAATCAACGATAATTATGAACAAAAAAAAACAGTGTTTAAAATACAACTTATTACATGCTTGTTTATTAATTAATTAATTAATTAAATAAAGAAAATATGAAAAGAAAAATTTACCCGTTAATTATTCTGTTGAAATTCTTTAAAATGTCCAATGTTGATATCGAAAAAGAATTGTTCTGTCTATTCTTTTTGTTTCAATTGAAGCCAATGATTCTTTAACAAACAAAAAACAAGAATTCGATACGACGTTTGTCAGACTGAGAATTTTTTTTTTTTTTTTGCCAGAATTTATATTTCATAACGTCATGTGAAATGAAATTGAACAAAGGAAAAAAACACTGCACACTGCAGTGTTTATTTGCAAACTCATTCCAATTGATGAGTGGATGTGTTCAAATACAATGTAATGTGTTATATACATGTTATCGAATCACGTGCATTCGAAAAAAATTTTTTTTTTTCGTTCCAATGTGCGTTTTTTTTAAAATTTTATTTTCCAGCTCATCATAGATGAAATGAGTTTTTCTGAATTTTTTATTGTTTAAAAAATAAATTATTATTAAACAAAAATTACACATTATGAATCATTCAACATCACAGATTGCTGCCGTTACATTTAAATTGTTTGGTGAAAATGAAGCCAAAAAACTAAGCGTATTACCAATTACAAATGTTCATGTATTTGATCCACTTGGACATCCATTAGATAATAGTCTTGCCGATACTAGTTTAGGTAATGGAAATAATTTATTTGTAAAATTTAAATTAAATTGATTGATGATTGATATTTCAATATATATAGGACCATTGAAACGTAATGATTTCTGTAAAACATGTGGCCTAACCGATTCCGAATGTCTTGGTCATTTTGGCCATATTCAACTTCCATTGCCAGTGTTCAATCCATTTCTATTGAAACATGTTTTTCAGGTATGATTTTTCAATTTTCAAACAAGGCAGAAGATGATTCTTTTTTTCACTCTTTTTACCTAAATTTTAGGTGTTGAAAATGTTCTGTTTCAATTGCCATCGATTATTATTCACACCGTTCAATGTAGAAATATATATCGCTCAATTACGTGCATTAGATCTTGGTTTGGATTATATTCTTGATGATATCTTACAATATGCCAATGATATTTCACAATCAACCAAAGGTTTTGATTGGAGTTCATTTGAAGGAAAAACATTTTTACGTACAAAATTAACCACATTGATCAATTCAGAATGTCGAAATCAAAAGAAAAAAAATTCAATGAAAACAAATGACAAACCTATGGATGATAATGATAATGATGATGATGATGGTATTGTTCAATTAGAATCGGTTGAAATAATTAATTCAAAAAATGTGATTGAAAAAAAACAACATTTATTCAAAGATCTAATCAGTATGAAAATGATAAAACCAACTAAAGTTTGTATGAATTGTAATTCAAAAAAACGTGGCCTTAATGTTATTAATAAATCATCGATAGTCATGACTACTGGTATACGTTCGAAAAATGTAAATGATATGGATGAAACTATAGGTATTGAGAATCGAACATCAATGGCAATAGAGATGAAAGGAAAATCATATTTAACACCAGTACAAGCACGTGAACATTTACGAAAATTATGGCTAAATGAAAAAGATGTACTAATACGATTATTTCCATTTTTAAATATTGATTTCAATCCAGATAATGCAATATCAAATGATGAATGTGAATGTCCAATGGATGTATTTTTCTGGGAAACAATCATTGTCACACCGAATCGTTTTCGACCATTAAAACATATGAATGGAAAATCATTTGAACATCATCAAACGGCAGCACTTGGTGATCTTATGTTGGTGGCTAAATCATTGGAAATTGCATTGGAAAATGCTAAAAAAACTAATGGTGATAATAATATTGAACGTTTCTATCGAAAATGGTTACGGCTACAGATTCTTTGTAATCGTATCTATGATATTGGTATGGATAATTTACCGGATAAAAAATCTTTAGGAGTGAAACAAATTCTTGAGAAAAAAGAAGGCCTTATGCGTAAAAATATGATGGGTAAACGTGTTAATTTTGCTGCTCGTTCTGTGATATCACCTGATCCATATATAATGGCCGATGAAATTGGTGTACCATTGGTTTTTGCTACAAGATTATCATATCCACAACCGGTAACCGATTGGAATGTCAAACAATTACAAGAAATGATTATTAATGGACCAAATCAACATCCAGGAGCATTATCCATTACATATGAAGATGGCTATACTGTACGTTTGAAACCGGATGATATAAATCAACGTCGTTCAATAGCTGCCACATTACAACCATCATCATTTCATCATAATCAAGCAATGCAAGGTGTTAAAATTGTTAATCGTCATCTAATATCGGGTGATGTTCTTCTTCTTAATCGTCAACCAACATTGCATAAACCATCGATTATGGCACATCGTGCACATGTATTGCCCAAAGAAAAAACATTACGGCTACATTATGCTAATTGTAAATGTTATAACGCTGATTTTGATGGCGATGAAATGAATGCACATTTTCCACAATCCGAATTGGCACGTTCTGAAGCCTATAATATTGCATCGGTTAATTATCAATTTCTTGTACCAAAAGATGGATCACCGTTGTCCGGTCTTATACAAGATCATATCGTTGCTGGCGTATTATTGTCAACACGTGGTAGATTTTTCAATAAAAAAGATTATCAAGAACTTATATATGGTGCATTATCATTTTTAACGAATAAATCAATCAAATTTCTTCCACCAACCATCCTGAAACCAGAATGTCTATGGTCAGGAAAACAAATCATTTCGACATTATTGTTGAACATTATACCGGCGAATAAACCATTACCAACATTTCAAATTGAATGTAAAGTTTCGACTAAATTATTGATTTCAGAAAAACCAAGACCCTGGACTGTTGGTGGTCCATTAGGTGAAAAAGATATGTGCGAAAGTCAAGTAATCTTTCATCATGGTGAATTATTATGCGGTATCATGGATAAAGTAAGCTTTGGTGCAAATAAAAATGGTCTAATTCATGTCTGTTATGAATTGTATGGTGGTGATATCCATTCACGTCTGTTGACGGCTATTGCACGTCTTTGTACCAATTATCTTCAATCATATCATGGATTTACATTAGGCATACACGATATATTGGTCAAATCGAAACCGGATTCAAAACGGAAAAAAATAATTCGTACATCAAAATCTTTAGGTATGAATGCTATTGGTGAAGCTTTTCAAATACCATTCGATAGTGATGATAATATGGTCATGTCAAAATTTCGTGAAGCACATACAGCACGTGATAATGATTTTATGATGAAACAATTGGATGCTGCTTATAAATCACAAACAGATTCACTCAATAATCAGATTACACAGATTTGTATGCCTAAAGGATTGGTGAAAAGTTTTCCAGCCAATAATCTACAAATGATGATTCAAACTGGTGCTAAAGGTGGTTCAGTGAATGCTATCCAGATTTCCTGTTTACTTGGCCAAATTGAATTGGAAGGTCGCCGAATACCGTTGATGATGTCTGGCCGTACTTTGCCATCATTTCGGCCATATGAAACACAACCACGTGCCGGTGGTTTTGTTACCGGACGCTTTCTTTCTGGTATTCGACCACAAGAATTTTTTTTCCATTGTATGGCTGGTCGTGAAGGTTTGATTGATACGGCTGTAAAAACTTCTAGATCTGGTTATCTTCAACGTTGTCTTATTAAACATCTGGAAGGATTGATTGTCAATTATGATCTTACTGTACGTGATTCTGAAGGATCAGTTATACAATGGCTTTATGGTGAAGATGGTTTGGATATTCTTAAATCACAATCATTGAAAAGCCATTTTTTCCAACTATATTGAATAATCGTGAAGCATTGAAAGCAAGTAAAGATGAAATAAAAAAATTAACATTGATTCGTAATCCAAATTTGATGAAACAAATTCAACGTGTAAGAAAATTTCAAAAATCAAATACAAAATCGACAAAAATATCATCATCATTATCACCATTTTTAATGTTTGAACAAGAAAAATGTCAAAATAATTCATCCATTACAAAAGATGAATTGAAAAAAATGTGGTATGATCAAGATGACAAACAACGACTGTTATCGATAAAGACTATAATGAAACCAATTGATCCATTGATACCAGAATATCGACCAGATTTAAATCTTGGTGCTACAAGTGAAATGTTGGATAAAATTGTTAATGATTATGTTTATACTGATTTAAAAAATCAATCAAAAAATGTTGTTAATGAATTCCGTCAAACAGTCAATGTTTGTTATATGCGATCATTATGTTCACCAGGTGAAGCTGTAGGCCTGTTAGCAGCACAATCGATTGGTGAACCATCCACCCAGATGACATTGAATACATTTCATTTTGCTGGTCGTGGTGAAATGAACGTAACTTTGGGTGTTCCACGTCTTCGTGAATTATTGGTTACGGCATCCAGTAATATTTCTACACCAAGTATGGATATACCGTTTCGTACGGATATTGATGCCAATGTGAATATTGAAGAAGAAGCAGAAAATGTACGTTTACGTTTGAATGCTGTACGATTGAAAGATGTACTTGAATTTGTTGATATTAATGAACATATTGAAGTTGGTTCATCAAATTCTTTCGGTGATCGATCACGTATTTATACTATCCGTTTTGGATTCTTACCGAAATCCTATTATAAACGACGATATTTTACAACACCATCGAAAATTTTACATTATGTTGAAACGACATTTATTCGACATTTTATTGATGCTTTAAATCGTCGATTACGTTTATTGACACAATCTAGTGGATTATTTGATACGAAAAATACACGTTTGCGATCATCAATAGGCCAGATGAAAAAGAAAACAATCATTGATGGTGATGAAGAAGAAATGATGCAACAAGAAAATGATGAAAATGGTGGTAGTGACGATGGTAATAATAATGATAATGATGATTCGAAGAAAAAGAAACCATTACTTGATGATGATAATGATGATGAAGATGAAGATTTTGATGATTATGATGTTGATGAAGGTGAAGGTGATACTGTAGCAATGAGACAACGTTCACGTTTAAATCAAGAACAAGAATATGAAGAACCTGATCAAGAAGAAATTGAAGATCAAGATGATGATATTGATGATATTAATGATGATGAGCATAAATCACAATTATTTAATGATAATGATAATCAATATGCCGATATTCTTTATAATCTTGTACATAATCCGATAATTAAATCTGAACAAATTGATGATGATGATGATGTTACAGCTGAAAAAAATGTATCATTACGTGAACATAGATTAGCTGAAAAACAAAAAAATCTTGAAGCAATGGCTGAAGAACGAAAAAAACGTGTACTGAACAAATCACCCGGTTGTATAATGGATTATTCATTCGATACTAGTCGTGAACTTTGGTGTGAATTTCAATTGAAATTTCCACTAATATCGGCTAAATTAGATCTACGAACCATTGTTGAAGAGGAAGCATTCCGAGCTTTCATACATCGTGTCGGCCGTATTGATCGAGCATTTTTGGTCAAAGATAATGATGCAGCACAGAAAGGTCAATCGTTTTGTAAATTGATCAAAACCGAAGGTGTGTCCGTACCACAAGTAGTGGAATTTGAACGTTTCCTTGATTTACGTCGAATCTATACGAATGATATGCATGCTGTTGCACGTACATATGGAATTGAAGCAGCACGTGCTGCTCTTATACGTGAAATTAAAAATGTTTTCGCCGTATATGGTATATCGGTAGATGGTAGACATTTATCGTTGATTGCCGATCATATGACATTTACCGGTACCATTAAGGGTATGAATCGTGGAGCAATGGATGGAATTTCACCACTTCAAGCAATGACATTTGAAACGACTACAAATTTTCTTAAAAATTCTCTACTTTTAGGTTTGTATTATTAATCATATGATGATTTTTTACAATTTTTTAATCAATTTACATACAGGCTTAAAAGATGATTTACAATCACCATCATCACGATTAGTAATAGGACGTCCAACAGTGGTCGGTACTGGTTTGTTTGAAACACGACTCAAACCGAAAATGGTTTCCGAAATGATCAAACCGGATCTACGTTTAAGTACATCGTTACAACGTCATCATACATCGACATCATTCCTTGGCCAACCATCAACATCACGATCATTGTTTGATCGCTTCTCGAATGTCGATAATAGGCAATCATCATCATTCTTATCACCTTCGATGTTTTCACCAAATCTATTCAGTACAGCCCGGAAAGATAAATCCAACAAAAATCGAAAACGATCTAAACCTGATGTCAGTAATGATGATGAAGATAATAATGGTGATAAAACTGGAAGTTCCATTTCCATTAAAAAAGAAATTAATTCCGATGTTGAAGAGTCTGTAACACCACCAGCCACAAAAAAGGTGAGAAAATCTAAAAAATTGCTTATAAAATCTGAATTTGATGATTGATGATAATGCGAAACTAAAAAAAATGTGCAAAAACAATTTTCCAATATTTTTTATTTATTGAATCAAACGAAAAACGAATTTAAAAACGAATTTACAAAAAAATCATTTGATAACCTAAATCATCTTTATATCATACAAAGAAGAATGTGAAACTCAAAGTACGAGATAACAATGAACACAAAATGAAGATCCAAATATCATATATGGATAACAATTCCAAACATCAATATCATTTTGTTGTTTGCATTTTACTACTCACCGAGTTATTTGTCGGCTGTTGAGTATTTATTATTATTTTCCTGATTGTTTGCCTGTGGTAATTTATTTCTTGCCATCGATCGTGATTGGGCATTCTGCGATTGTTTCTGTTGTTGATAATATCCACCATTCCCTTGTCCTGTTATTGATTGCTGTTGACATTTTGGTTGAGATTTATTCGGTTGAATGCTGCTAGAACCAGTAATTGTTGAATTTTTTACCTCAACACCAATGTTGACATTAGGTGGTGGTATATTGTAACATACGTTATGTATTGTATTTTGTGGCTGCGAATTGGCCTTGTATGTATGTGGATAATGTACTTGAGCAATTCGATCAAATGATGATAATAATCCTGATGTATCCATTGGCGGTGGTTGTTGTTGGTTCGGTTGATGATTACTTGGACCCAATTGATTTTGGCGGCTACCAGTTTTTTGTTGCAATGATTGCTGTATATCATTTGGTTCATCCGTTTTCGTTGGTGCAATCAAATTCATTGCAATCGTTCCATATGGATTTATTACCGGATACGATGAAGAAACATTGGCTTGCGATGGCACAAGGCTATGCGGATATGGCACATGAGGTATCGCAGCATGAACTGGACCATACATTATTGGATAACCATTTGCAATCTGCGAATAAAATGACGACAATTACAAGCTTAATGATCATGATGGTGATAATAATTTACAGATAGAGTATATTGATGATTTTGTTGTCCAGTTGTGGAAGTAATAGCCGTATTATTAGTCAAATTACTTGGAGGCACATTTGTTGAGGATTGATGTGAAAGGATTTGATGTGTTGGAGGATTATTCAACAATGGTGTTGATTGCATTGGCTGTTGTATAACACCACCACCACCACCGCCAACCGTTCCAGTCATTGTCGATTGATGATTCATGTATGCATACAACTATGATACAAAAATGTAAATTGTAAAATTATAAATAAAAAAAATAGAACAATAAAAATTACCTGATCATTTGGAATTAAATGCGAATATTGATATTGATTATTGGCATTTGGATCCATATATGGATTGTATGCTATAAATAGATGAAAAATTACATTAGAATTCATTTGAATGTGCACAAAAATTTTTAACCTGTAACGCCTGGAACACGTAAATAAGAAGTATAAGGGTTAGGCTGTTGTTGTTCCATCAAATGATAAGCCGGTGGCGGTGGCATTTGATTTGATAGTTGATGATGATGGGTAGCTGGTATCGATGGTGGATTATTCATACGATGATGGTTAACAAAATTTCCATCACCACCTTGATAATGAAGCTGACTAGTACCTGGATGTGAATGTCTTGTACTACCACCACTACTATGACCACGTACACCACCACCACTTGTATGATAATAAGGGTTATTTTTAGGATTTTTATTCATCACATTCGACCGAAAAGGACCTCTTGTATGATGATGATGATGTGGATGCTGATGATTGGAATTATTATTATTATGATGATTGGAACTAGCAAATCGTTGCGAATGATAATGATTGTGATGATGATGATTGGCAGGCCTATACATTGCGGCAGATTGATGCGATGATGATGGTTGATGGTATGATTGTTGTTGTTGTTGGTGAGTATAATATGGTTGCGTTGGTGGATATTGTTGCGGATGGAACGGCGGTTGTGCTGCATTATGATGTTGATAATTATGATGATGATGATACATATTATGATACTTATTATTAACACGACCATTATAACCACCCAATGATTTACCGCCACTACGATTTGAAATTGATCCAACATTCGAACCTTGAGGTTTACGCCGTTGTATCATCATTTGGCTATTATTATTATCTTTGTTATTATTGTTATTATTAATATTTTCTTTCTGATTGATTAATGGTTGTTTTTTCTGGCCAACATCATCACCATAACCATCATCGTTATTATCAACATCGTTCGTAATATTGGTATCTGTAGTCGACAATACATTTTCATTTGTATCACAATTATCATTTTGACTGTTTGATTGAAGACTAGAACTATCAACTGGTTGTTGCTGTTGTTGGGATTGCATCAAGTTGCTGTCGAAACTTTCTTCACTACCAGTTTGAAGTTGTAGTTTAGATTTTGATGAAGAATCAGTAGTCCCTGCATCTTGTTGGCTAAAAATTCTTGCACGCACTTTTTCATAATTTTCTTCACGTTCTTCTAACGATCTTGATCGTGATGAATCGGATAGTGATCCAGTGCCACCACCACCACCACCACTATTTCCACCTCCATTCAATAATAACGAATTATCCGGACTTTTATCCTTATCAAATGAACTACCAGGTGAATCATCCAATGATGTTGAATCCCGTTTCAATATGGATTTTTTCTGTCCATTTGTTTCTTCTCGTTGATCTTTGGCCATCATCTCTTTGAATAATTCATCCGGTTGTCTGGTATTGGAATTTTTTGTCAAAACAACCGACGTATGTGAATGATCAACTGCATGTTCAAGCTGATAATAATCAGCTGTTTTATGGATCAACATTCGATTGTAGGATGATGCTTGTAGAATTTTCAACGTATCACGTGTAGTATCTTTAAGAAATTGTGCGAGATCTTGTTCTAGCTTGTATAGAAATTGACGATCTTTTATGCCTTTTTTCAATGTTTCTGTAAGAAAAATTTTTGCTTCACTGACGGACATTTCTTGAATTTCACTACTTGAATCTATGCAAAAAAAATTATCATGTAAAATTTAAATCTCAACAAATAGAAAAACAACACTAACCTCTTGAAAGACTTGGCGATGATGCATTGCTACTAATTATGGAACTATTTTTACTGCTTGTCTGTATTAGTGAATAAATTGAGAAAAAAAAATTAAAATTCATTCATATATTAATCACAAAAAAATATGAAAATTATGAATACTAACTGTTAAACTAGTCGGCTGGCTAATGTTGTTACCAGACGCTGTAATATTTCCGCTACTGTTCTGGGTAATACTGCCACAAACGGTGGTGCTGTAACCTACCGTCAAATGAGTTGTTGATCCAGTGTTTTTCACCGAATTCAACGTTTCATTACTACCATTAGGTAATTGAGGTGACAATGATGATGATGGTGGTGGTGGCGGTAGTGGTGGTGATGGCGATAAACTCGATTCACGTACAGCACCGCTTCGAATCAAGGGTTTTGAACGTTTTTTTAGGCTACCATCTAAACTGTGTGCCGATTTCGGTGAAACAGAATTATCACGATTTTTATCAACATAATTTATCGATTCATTTGTATCGTTGATTTTTAATCCAGCAATAAATTGTTTTGATAAATTAGTAATGACATTTTCATTTACCACCGATGACTGGCTATTATTGTTTGATTCTTGCATAATAGTGACAATTTCTTCATCACCATCACTTTTTGTTTCCAACTACAAAAATAAGAAATTAAAATTTTTGTTCAAAAAAATATACAAATCAAACACAAACCTCATCGGCTGAATTAATACAGATGGATATTGAATGTCCTTTCATTTCTTTCATTGTAATTGGATTTTCTTTTATCACATCATCATCATCATCATTCGATTTTGATCCATTATTATTATTATTGGCCATGATGGTGTGGTTTAAATCATCAATTTCCTCTTGCTGTTTCATTGTAGATTTCCGTAATTTATTATTAATCATTGCCGATGATTGTGATTGATGTTGTTTTTCATCACTACTACTGTCACCATTCGATTGATTATTATCTTTTTGTTGCTGTTGTTGTTGTTGATTATGAACAGATTTCGATGAAGTTTTTTTTGTTGCTGCTGTTGTTGATGATGATGAGACTGCTGCCATATTCATAACCTTATCATTAGTAATTGAAGACATTTACAGCAACTATTTTATGATGATGAATATCAATTTTCGTTCAATTGTTCAAAACTATTACTATCTGGTATATAAGAGCTGTTATTAAAAAAGAAGAATGAAAAAAAAATTACATCAATAATGGAAATGAAAAAAAAATCAAATTTTTTTTTTTGCAACTTACAAAATTGCAAATTGAAAAAAATGGAAATAACACACACACACACACACAAACAAACAACTTGAATTTAGTCAGTTTGTATGTATGATGAGTGTGCATATGTGATAATAAACAGAAGAAATTGAAATGTTGCTGTTGATTTTTTTTTTGTGTGCATATATTACGTTTGGCTATTAATTATATTATTATTATGGGCTAATACAAATCTATTGATTTTATGTAATGGGAAAAACTACACACAAAACAAAAATTGATCTGTAGTAAATAGTAGTGATGATTTAAATTCCATTGTCATCATAATTAGAAGATATTTGGATGGACTATAGAGCAAAAAAAAAAACAAAAAAAAAAAAATTTAGGCCAATCAATCCAATATATTGGCTATTCAATACTGTGAATAATAATTGGTGGAACCATAATAATAAATATACATTCTTTTACAAAAACAATGACCATCCTATAGATTGATATATAGAAAAAAAAGAAAGAAAAAACGAATCAATAAAAAAGAATTTTAAATTGTAACAAGAGACAAACCAAACACTTGGAAATTAAGAAAAAAAAACCCTATCAATGTCCATATGTTCTATGGGAAAAACAAAAAAAAAATACAAATCGAAAGTTTAAGCCATGGACCAGAAATAATGGTGGTGTGTAAAATGTTTCATTTGTAATAATAATAATAATAGATATTTAGTTGGCAACTTTTCCGTTGGATTCTACTCACACACACACTCACACATAAACAGACACATTTGGATACTATGATGATGATGAACCAAAAAGGCACCAGAGTGTTAGTTATATGACGCCGATCAATGAATGTACATGTATATTATTCTATACTCTATTTCTATACAACAACAAGTTTATAAGGTATAATAATATCTTTTTCTTGTTTCCTTTGTATATTAATACTTTTTTTCCCTTTTTTTTACAAATATGGCATCTGGTTGTTTCGTGTTATAATTAATAAAAAATGACGATGATGACAATGATAATGATTGGATTAACATATAACTTACCTTTTTTTCAATGATGTTTTAATCGAAATTTGATTTTTTAATCTAATGTATATGATAAGTAGATGCAATAACAATACACGTTTCGAATTTGTTAAAATTGTTCAATTGAGGCCGGTATTTTCCCATTAACAATGATCTGGATTTTTTTTTTATTTGGAAAACAAAACAAAATCTTTAAATGATGATTATTATTAAATTAATTTATGATGATGAATTGATAATAATAATACTACGATGCAATGGAAATTGCTTCACTAAAACAAAAAAAAAAAAAAATTCACTCACACACACCATGAAATAGGTTTTGCAGTGTTTTTTTCCTAACCCGAAACAAATTTGTTCAATGCAATGGTTATGGTTATAATAATAATGATGATGATAATAATAAATTCGACAGGGATGAAAGATGAAATTCTCTATATAATCGGGTGTTCACATCGTGTTCCCGTTTTTCTTCATTTTTGTTTCAATATATTGAACACAAACAAGCATGTACGACGTCTAATACATTTTATAGTCAGATTCACAATGCCCACACACACACACGATACATATGTATATGACAAGAATCTCAAATGCACATGTACAACAAAGATTTCAAGCAGCAGTATTTGTGGTTTACAATGCTTGAAAATGACAAAAAAAAACTTTATGACGACATCAAAAGAATTTTTTTTTCTCATTTAACGATATAATACCCCGTTGATGATGGTGAGCAGAAATGGGCAACCAATTTCTGGTTACTCGTAAAATCGCATGCACAAAAATGATGATGATGATGATGAGCTGCGTGCACACGCAATTTTTATAAAATGCCAAAAAACGTTTCACTTTATACGTGTACACACACACACAAGTGAGACACGACTAGCCGGTTTTTACTATCGATATATATCGATAGTCAATTCTGTATTTTTCTGAACACTAGATGGATGCACAGGTTTCAATGAAATAAAAAATTCGAACCAATTGTCATCGACTAATAAAATTTGGTCTCGTCAAGAGCATTTTTAGGGGTTTCCATTTGAAAGATTACTATCACTATGGGTCACCTGTCAAACGAATGATAAATGGTCATTGCTGAAAATGAAAAAAATTGTTAATGAGTGTGACCTCGAACATTCGTATGACGACAACGTGGCATTTGGGTTTGTTTTTTTTTTGTTTTGTTTTGTGAAAACAGAATTTTGAATTCAAAAATGTGTCACATTAATCGGAGAATCGTTGGCTGTTTATTGTTATATTTTATCATCGATATCGATGCATTCACAGGAACTTGGGGTAAAAGAAGTAAGTGACTTAATCTATTTTTGATCTGCGATGCATTTGAATATTGCACAAACACCACCATCATCATTAATATTGCCAACAATCTATGCTGATTGGACACGAATGTTTCGAAAAAATCATAAATATCGTACTGCAAATTCACGACGTAAATCATCTGAACGAAGATTGATTGAAAATATTGGTGAATATCAACGATTAATGAACCGAGAAATGTTGGCCATAATGCAAGAAATGAAATTTGATCGTATGGCCATCATTGTCGATGATGAACGACAATTCAACATTGATTCAAAACGTATTGAACATGGTGATCGATTAACAATTGAAGAATATATTCGATGGCTTTATGAATTACATAGAATGGCGCAAAATTTCAAAGATCAATTAATTGATGAACAAAAAATTGAAGGCCGAATCGGTTGATTCCAATTTTTCAATATTTTGTGTATTTTTTTATAATAAATTAATTAATATTTTACATTTCAAGTTATTGGGGAAAATTTTTTGACCACATTACCAAAAAGTTTTTTTTGCTTAGCATTCACATTGAATTTCTTGGCCAATTTACCACCAATACCCGGCATTTCTGTTGCCTGTCCATCTTCTTTTTCTTTGTCTTTTCCTTCTTCTCGTCCATCTCCTTCTTCTTCTTCTTCTTCCTGTTCAAATTTAAGTTTATAACGAATTTTTCGTATCAGATCCTGTTCATCATCATTTGGTTCATATTCTACATTGATTGGTAGGCCACCATTTCCACCTTTCAATTGATAACGGCCTGGTTGACATAATTTTTCATATTTATCCAATATTCGTTTCATACTCAGAAAATTACAACGAAACAATAAAGAACCTGAATCAATCAATCAATCAATATTATTTCCATTTTTTCTTTTTTAAAAAAACTTACATTTAATTTGTGGAAATTTACGTGTTAAAAATGTATAAGTATAGAATATAAACACTATGGTTAGAATGAATGTAGTTATTTTCGATGAATAACGTACAATATCGATCAGATAATCGATTCGTTGCCATATTTTATCATACCATATTGGTGAAGCGTTTGGATTAAGTTCGGCAATAAAAATTTCATCATGATAATAATCACTATAATCATCGATTATTTCCATGATGATTGGTGAATGAAATAATTTTGAATTTCAGTTCATTTTTTTGTTTGATTTGAATAATTTCATTTTTTTTATAATTAAATTAAATAAAACCAATAATAATAATAATAACAATTACAATAACAATAACTAAATCTTTTTTCGGAAAAAACGAAACAACAAATATAATGATGATGAATTGATTGACTATTTACAGATTTATATTTGACAAGATTGAGATTTTTGTTTCACCGATTCATTGTTGGATTCATTCCTTTACTGTTTGTAGAAATATTATTACGATGTTTAGATGAAGAATGATGATTATTACGGAAAAATGTCGATTCAATATTGATGAATGGTCTTTCAAACATTACGAACATAATAATCGATATTAATTGTGTAAAAAAGTAATAACATATCACATTTAATACCTGTGAAAAGAAAGAAAAAAAAGATATTCATATCAAATTCAATTATAGTAATTTCATAAAAATAAAAACTTACAAGATTCAATTCTGAAAAATAAATCTTTTGTCGTACAGAAGTGATGATTGCACTGATTAGTACAGAATGTAATAAATATGATTGATATGTTAGTCTACTAAATACTTGAAACATTGGTAAGGAAAATAATCGATCCACTAATGGTAAATGTTGACGTGCCATTGCCCATATAAATAATGCCCAAGCGATTGCCCATATGCAACGATGTATGGCACCATATAGAATTGATAATGCATTTATATAATCAGCACCTTGTAACCATGGATATGTAAGCATTGTTGTAGCAAACATCAATATAATGGATATAACCAATAACATTGATCCAGTAGCAGTAGAACGATTATTTTTTATTTGATTATTTTGATCATCATCATCATCATCATCCATTATCATTGTTGTTAATAAGATATTCTTGTTGATGATAAAAATGTCTCCTGTGATAAATGTAGGCCATTAGAATACCGATACAATATGGTCCAATTCGACAATATGATGCTTTATAGACCATGTTTATATAATCTAGATCGCTAATTAATAAAATAATAGTTAAATCAATTGAATATTTGATTTTTTTTTTCACCAAAATACTCACTAAACGGTGACTAAAACGGTGGGTGTTAAATGTTTCCATGCCATTAAGAATGCCGTTAAACTTGAACTACTTAATATGAATGCAATATTGATTATAATTCCGATTGTTCGCATACGATAAGATTCATATGCCAGGAATATGATTAGTAATGGTGAAATAATAAAGAATTGCATATCGACAGCCAGATACCAAAGATAGGATAAACACTATAAAATAAAAAATGTGATGTAAGAATCTTTGTAAATAATAATATAATGAATTCATACTTCACTTTGTGGATTTGTAGGTGAATTAAGATTACAGAAATTATTTATATAAAGTAAAACATTCCACCAATTTTTATGACAAGATTGTTGTGATAAATTCACATAATTACGCCATAATGGACCGGAACCTAATATTTCAATCAGAATGGAAAGGCCAACAACACCGGCTACGGATGGAGTAAGCCGGATATAACGATGAAATATCCGTCTTGGATGTTGTTTTAGGTGCTCTATTATGGATGGATTACGTTTATTATTTTGACGATTTGGATCGTTGCTGCTGTTGTTGTTGTTGTTGTTCGAATCATTATTGCTGTTGCTGCTGTTAGATATTCTACCATATTGATTTAAAAATGAATGAGCCATAACAAAACCGGATAAAAGGAAAAATGTATCCACCCAAAGAGCGGCATTTGTGATGAATTGATATAGAAATCCATGTTCAACACCCAAAACTTTTAATAAATTAGCTATGGAAAAAAAGATAACAAAAATCATGAATTGAATTCTATAGGATTAGCTATTGGCTTACCACTTGGAATCTGTGCTTCAGTAAACGTATGATAGATTAAGATAAATAAAAAACTAAGGACACGAATCCCGTGTAAACAATCAATTTGTGGTGTGCGAGTTGTTGTTGTTGTTGTTTTAGTCGATGGTTGATATGATTTAGTTCTGAACAAAAACCAAGATTACGTGCAAGACTAAAACAAAGTAATAATCGGATGATGAAATTTTTCGCAGATGTTGATGATGATAATCTATTCAATTGATTCATTTCAATTATTGTTCCAATGATGATCATTGTAAATATTGTTGCAAATAATGCACTGATGTTATTGCAAAAAGATTCAATTATTGTTTAATTTTAAAATTTTTTCAACATTTTTGAAACAATAAAAAACTTACATAATAACCATATGAATTGTTTCAATACGATTACCAATTTTAAGATCTTGTCTAGTGATACATTGTGTAATGGTCAATGGTTTTTGATTATCACGTATGGATACTGATTTTTTTTGATAAAAAATCAAAAAATAAATGGAATTTCATCTTAATAATAAGAACAATACGTACATTCATTAAGAATAACAGGTAAATCATGATGCATTGAACATGCAGCCGGTATACAAATACTAGCCGTTGGTGGTACCATCGAAAATATGAATGAAGGAAATGTATCGCTCTGAAATTCATTCCGATTGATTGATTAATAAAAGAGAAAAAAATTAAAATTTTAAAATTCAAATACCTCATTTTTAGTCATAATAATTGATGCCGGAAATTGTATAGTACAATATTGTATCTGTCCATTTGGTAAATGATCAATGGTTAGATCTAAACATTGATCAAATTCACCAAAAAATTGTATATTACCATCCATTAGACCGGATTCAAGTACTGAATTCGAATCAATCACTAATGATGATGATGATGATGATGATGATGAGAGAGATAGAAAAAATCAGAAATCCAATAAACAAATGTCTCATTCTTTTTTTTTTACTTACTTTTCATTGCCCATTTTTCTTTGGAATTATCAAGAAAATAATCATATGATTGTCGACATTCTTGTGATAGATTATGGCGAACAAATTCATAATATTTAAAAAAATAATATAAAAATATTCGTCCATCATTAATCGATTCATATTGATGATGATTTTCTGTAGTATGAATTCTGTCTAATGAATTGATTCGAATGATTCGTTGTTTATCGTTGTCTGGTCGACAATGACATGTCGAAATAGTGATGATGACAACAATACTAATGATGATGAATACATTCGAATTAGCCACAACTAACGGACATTTCATTTTAAGAGTGAAGAAAAAAAAAACTTTTTAAATCAAACAAAAAAATCTTTCCAATCGATCAGTCAGTCAGTCAGTCAGTCAGTCAGTCAGTAAATAAGTGAATAAGTAAGTCAGTCGGTCGGTCGATTATTGCCTTGAAAATTTTTCTGTTTATCCCGAATAATAAACATGGGGGGGTGGTAAGCACGAGAGAGAATGACAGAGAGAGAGAGGGTTTTGATAAAATACGACGAATACAGTGAAAAAAAACCGGATTCACATTGATAAAAAAAAAAATTGGAAAAAAAATTTGTAGTTCGAGGTACGTTTAATGATGATAATATCGAATCGAATCAAATCGAATGTTATTCAATTAAAAAAAAAAAATTTCTATTTTCAACAATCACAAATTCTATATATATATCAGGAAAAACCAAAAACCAATCATCCTTGATTCATTGATCATCATCATCATCTGGTTAAACGTGTGTGTGTTTATATACATACAGCGAGGGAAGCAAAAAAAAAAAAAAAAACTGATCAAACAACTACTAAAAAAAAATATCAATATCAATATCATCAATCAGAAAATTATTAATTGAATTCAAATTCGTAGATGATGATGATGATGATGATGATATTGATCCATGATGATGGTTGAAGTGGATCGATGTAGAACAAATACACACACACACACACACACACACTAAACTAGTGGCATTTAAATAGCCAACATGTAGATTCATCACGAGAAATTTTTTTTTTTTTTTTTTAGATTTGAATCAATTATAATGTTGATAATGATGATAGGATTGACTTTTATATACAAAAGCAAAAAAAAAAAGATGATATGATAATCATCATCAGCATCCTACATTTTCATTTTCATTTTCATTTTCATTTTCATTCTCATTATCAATTTTTTTTATATATATTATAAATGAATGAATTTCAATCAAAATTATTGAAATGAATTATCTCCATCTCTCTCTCTCTCTCTCTCTATCTCTGGCGCCATTCGATCACACACATGTTTTATCTATCTCTATGCCACCATGGCTAGAATGATCTTTAAAAAACAAAGCAAATCAGGATCAGTGATAACGGATCAGTGCTAATTGCACAAAAAAAAAAAACTCAAGATTATCCTTGGTTCGATTTTTTTCTGTATTATTTACGTGTACTTGATGGCGAGTGTGTGTGTGCAATTGAATGAATGGTATGATGATGAGAATCTTTTTCTTTTTTTTTTTTGGTTTTTTTTCATTTAGTCGATGGTCATATTTGCGCGTACACATAAATGATTGAGATGATGAATTTTTTTTTTTTTATAAATCCGTTGAATCCGAATCTTTTCGCGTTTTCTTATTTTCACTGCTTTCATTAGTCCATTGACTTTGTTTGTTTATATTTATTTTATTCGTTCATCTACAAAAAAAAAAAAAATTTCGAGGTTGTTTTTGCTTTCACCAATCAATTTCAAAGATTCAGGTTATTTTTAGGCAATGTTTTTGCCCATTACGCTAGTGATAATGATGATGTGATGATGATGATGATGATTGATGATGTTGCACGATGCAAATTTTGTTGTTGTTGTGTTGTTGTTGTTGTTGTTGTTGCAAACAATAAAGTACATTGAGAGCAATGGAAAACATTGGAAAAAAAACCACAACCACATTTTTTTTTATTTTAATTATAAATCAATCAATCAATCAATCGATCGATTGGCCATCAACCCGATTTTTTTTTATATTTCACTTCTTTTTTTTTTGTTGATGTCGTCACCAAGTGTGCGTGTACGAGTATCGGTCATTAATACTATGCATTAGTTTTTTTTTGTTGAAAGTGTTGGTTCGATGACTTTGTGTAATGCAATATCGAATGAATGAATGAATGAATCAATGAATCAATTTGATTTGACCAAATTCATTGATAATTAGTTTGTTCAGTTTGTAAAAGAATTACGGCAAAATTTATGCAAAAAACTAAACATTTGAAATGTATTGAACGTTGTAATTGTATGAATGAAAATATTTTTGGTATTGTTTTTTCTTTATAATATTTCAATTGAAATAATTCAATACGAATTGGATCCAAACAATAATCGTGATCAATTTTGGATTCATTAACAAATGGTGATGATGATGGTGGTTGTTCCAAAATTGTTGCATAAATTGTTGATGATAAATCAATCGATTGTTGTTCATTGTTGTCGATTAAAATTGATTTTGGTTTCAGCACACAAAATTGTATTAGAATATTGAAAAATTTTTCATAAATTTCCGTCAAATGACCAGTAATGTGAAAATAGATAAATTCCAATATAAAATTTCGTATTAAATCAAAAATGAGAATATTTTTCATCATATTCATACTGTCATCGATTACTGGCAAGGTAAAATATACGAAAGAGAATATTATCGATATTATGGTGACAATTTGTTTTGTCAATAACCAATATGATGATAGTCGATAGAATCGATCCAGATTTCTAATCAGATGATATATTAATGGTTTGATTCTGATGACGGATTCAACGGTTATATTTTCGGCTAGTAAAAAAAAAAAAATTAGAAAAGAACACAAAATTAATTCATCGATAATTTGCTGATTCGTAAATTGTTTGCCGGTTATTGACCCCCCCCATATTTTGTGTGCTACAAAATATTAAAGTGATACTTAATTTTTTTTTTTCTGGTTATCTCATCAATTATCAATTAGTAGGATTTTAAAATTGAAACCAACCAATAATGTATTTCAAGGTTAATTTCAATGTTGAAATGATAAAAAAACCACAACTTACTGGTTTGAATCCAATCGATAATTTGATTGAAATAATTTTTAGTCATTACAACAATATAAATAGTGATAATGATGATTATTTGATCATGATTATTTTGTTCAACAAAATCCATGGATAAATCGAATAAAATATTCCAATGTTTCATTGTTTTCATTGATGATGGTATGATGAATATGAATAGAATGAAATTTATGGCTAAATTATAGATAATCATTGAAATGGCAATCAATCGACCAGTTTTAAATGAATGATCGAATTTTCTATATAATGGATGTGATAAAATTTCAAATAATTGTTGACCAAATAATAGAAACATTATGTATACATAGAATTTGTCCACATGAAACATGATCAAATATATACGAAATATGAAAAATGTTATTGGTTTGAAATTTTCCGTCACAATTACAGTATCACCATCATCATCATGATGATGATTATATAATACATGAATGAAACTATGAAATGATTTTATTATCAATATCATATGAATGAATAATATGAACATGTGAAATAATTTAAAATATCGATGATTTTTATCACTTTGATTGACCATTTTCATTTTGACAGTAGCAGCAGCAGCAGCAGGTGATTTACAAGATTTTTTTTTCGAAAGAAATCGAACAATATAACGGGAAATGTTTCCGAAATAAATTCCAGTTGAGCTATTTTTTTGGATTGTGAGAAAATTAAATTTTTTTTTTAATCAAATGCAAGATAAACAAGAAATGGAAGCGGAACAAAAAAAAAAAAATTTTTATCTTATCATACACACGGATGCAAAAAAAAAATTATCTGCAATGATGATGATGATGATGATGATGATGAATTGAAGTCAAGGCCAATGATGGTCATTTACCGTTTTTTTTTTATTATTGTCATTTGGATTTGTGATTGGGTTCAAAATCATCATCATCATCATCATCATAATGGTGGATGATAAGATCAATGGACTCGTAGTCGTCATTAATTTTCAATGTATGTGTTTGTGTGTCTTACTTTCCATTCTCGTTGATTTTTTGTTTTGTTAATTGTGAAAAATATGCGACAATCAAATGATATCCTTTTTTTGGGAATCTACCAAAAAAAACTAATATCAACCATTTGATTGATTAAAAAAAAAAATTTTTTTGAAGACAATCAATCAATCAATCAATTGATTGATGATAAGGTCATTATCATTCATCCATATATAAATCACGTATGCAAATATTTTTCACAAAAAATTTCCATTCAGGATTTTTTCCATTCATTCAGAACAAAAAAAAAATTGGTTTTACCAAAAAAAAAAAAATACCTATAGATAGAATACATAGATGACCAATAATGATGGACCCATTGATTTGATTGGAAACATGATGTTCAATCATAATGATAAAAATGATTCAATTCATTCATTCATCAATTCAAGGTGACCTAATAATAATATGTACACCAGATGTTTGATATTGACGACATTGGATATTGAACAAAAAAAAAAAAACAACAACCAGTCGATCCCAAAAACAACACAACTATATAGTCAATCAATCGATATGATCAGAATTTTTTTTTTATTATCAATTTCAATTGAAAATATTATGTTTTATTATTGAAAATTTTCATTTTCATTATCGATTGATGATGATGATCAAATCAATAAATATGTAAAAAATATAATGGTATCTACATAGTGATGGGGAGGAAAAAAAAATTAAAAACCAAACACATGAAAATAAACGTGATATATATATAAAATGTCTGTCAGTGTGTGTGTGTGTTTATGTAAATGAATGAATGAATGAATGTATTTACAACAACAAAAAAAAAAATTAACCCAATCGATATTGATTGATTGATTGGTACCACATATCAATATGTAAATATGTTTGTGTATGTGTGAATTTGTTAATGAACTTGTACTTTTTATACAATGAAATGAATATATGTTATGTATGGTACAATGTATCGTGTGGTTGTATATATGTACACGATGAAAATAATTTAAATTTTTGACCAGCAATTTTTGTTTTTTTTTTTTTGACTAAGATTCAATTCTGAAGAATTAGATGGACAAATTTTTTGTTCTCTTCATTTTTCAAACTTCAGTACCTTGTAGCTGTCCAACTGTTGAATGTTGTACACCAGCACTACCACCGGTACTTGATTCTTCACCATAACCTTCATCAGGACTATAACGAATATTTGATAATGATGTTGTTGCTGTCATTTGTGATGATAATTGTGGTTGTTGTTGTTGTTGTTGCCGAAATGGATAATTTGGTGTCATTGTTTGCCATCGAGATTTACCAACTGTTGTTACACCATAAATTGATTGTTGCTGCTGTTGATGATGATTTGGTGCTGGTGGTGCCATTTGCATTGGTGCCATTGTTATAAATGATGATGATGATGATGATGGTTGTTGTTGTTGTTGTATTGGATTAATAGGTGTATGTCTTATACCATATAATGATTCTTCCATTGTTAATAAATTTGGTCTACTTGTACTTGTTAATAATGTTGTTGATTGTCTTGGTAATTGTTGAAATTGTAATGGTAATGGTTCCAATATCGATATTGATGGATTAATAATATTGGTACGAAAAACTTCATCATCATCACCATTAATATCATTATACATCATTGTTGTTGTGGTTGTTCCATTGCCATTATTATCATCCATACAAACAAAACCATTTATTGATGCAGCTGAATCCGAAATAAATGCTGGATTGCCATATGATGTTGATATTAATAATGGTGATGGTGATGGATTTGATGAAATTTGTCTATTATTTGTATTTGATATAAATTGCTGTTGTTGTGGATGTGGATGTGGATGATGTGTAAAGAATTGATGATTCGGTGGTGTTGCTAAACGATGATGATTCTGTTGTTGTTGTTGTTGTTGATTATTCAGATCAAATTGACTAAAATATTGATTTGTATACAATAAATTTGGTGCTGATGATAACATAAATGATGGTGGTGTTGAACTATTATTTCCACCATTGAAAATATTTCCATTCATTGGTGATGTTGCCGATGTATTGTATGTCATTGTACTTGAATTGGTTTGTGGTGCTGTAGTTGTTGTTGTTGATGATGATAAAGTCATTGTTGCTGTTGATCCACAACCACTACCACCATTAGTAATGACTGTTGTTGGATTAACCATAACGGCACGATATAATCCAGACATCTGTTGCTGTTGTTGTTGATGATGATGATCAGGATTTGTCATATATCCAGAATCCTGTGTAACAAACAATGTATCCTGATGTGAAGCACCACCACCATTAAGAACATCATTGGAAAATGTTAAATGATGACCTATAGTTAGAAAATGATAGTTAGTTTTTTTTTGTTTACCAAAAAATTCCTTTACCTGGCTGTTGGCCAATATTGTTGTTGTTGTTGTTGTTGTTGTTATTGAAACCAAAATGATTCAATTCATAACCAGTGGCAGTTGTTTGCGATGTAGTAGTAGGCATAATCATTATTTGTGAATTTGATTTTGTATTATCCATAAAATTACCCGGTACTAATAGATCCGGTTTAAGAAATATTTCCGGTTTTTTATCAATACCATCTAGACCAAGCATTGAAAGTGCATGTTGTTGCATTGTTGTACCATTGGTATATGTTGTTGTGGATAATGTTCCATTTATAGATGAAGGATAAATAGCGGCACCATTTTGTCCAAATATTTTATTCAATGAATTTTTCTTTTCTAATGAATCATTATTACCAGAACCACCATTATTATCGGATTTAGTAGAATTACCATAAAATGAAAATCGTTTCGAACGTATCAATATCAATGTAATGACAACAAAAGCCAATACCAATGTGATCAAAAGACCAAGAACACCACCAGCTAATTCAACTTTAGACCAATTGGATGGTACACCAAATGTACCGGATGGTACAACATAAACAGTGAAATTTTTACTTTTGATACCAGCACGATTTTCAGCCGAACAAATAAAAGATGTACCATCATCATTCATATCCAAACCGATGATTGTTAATAATGAATTAACGGTACCTTCAGTTCTTTCTTCCGATAGATGATATTTATGTGATCGTTGTGATGATATATTATAATAACCATGATCCATATACCAGAAAACTTTTGGTTCAGGAATACCTTTAACAGTACATGAAAGTGTTGCATTACTACCAACAACTTTGGCTACTTCAACCGTTGTTGTAATGATATCCGGTTCACAAGCAAAATCATCTAGATCCAATGAATTCCACATAAGACCAGAAAGTCTTATAGGTAGATCACATGTAGCTGGTATTGATTGGCCAACATTATTTCTAATCATCCATTCACGTGTTGGACGCATTTCACAATTACATTGCCATGGATTACGATATAATTCAAAACTATATAATGCAGGTAAATCAGCAACCACTGCATATGGTAATGTTGTTAATTGATTATCATGAAGATAAAGATATTCAAGATCACGTAGACCATAAAAAGCTCTTGCTTCAATTGTATGTGTTTTACAGCCAGAAAGATTAAGAAATTTTAGACTATTTAATGCAGCAAATGATTCCGAAGTGATGGTTGCAATATGATTATTGTTCAATAATAGTCGTCGAAGATTTGTTGCATTGGCCAACGCTTTCACTGGTACATGTGTAAGAAGATTATCAGAAAGATCCAATTCAACTAGATTCGTTAATTGATAGAATGCATCATCAGCAATGGCACCAAGTTTACATTTTGGTATAAATAATTTTTGTAAATTAATCAAACCACGTTCTTGAAATGCTTTCGATGGTAATATTTGAAAATTATTTTGATTCAAATCTAAAACCTGTGTTGATGGTGATATTTGATTCGGTATCGATATAAGATTTTGATTTTCACATATTGTCGTTTGTTTACCATTACGCCATATACATGAACAAACCTGTGGACAGGTCATTAATTGTGATTCAACAATTTCAATGATGATGATGATGATCAAAACAATGATCAATTGTATGGATGGCCACATCAATAATGACTTCATTTTTTGTTTTGATTTGTTGTATTCTTGAAAGAATCAAAGAGAAAAATCTAAAAAAAAAGAAAATGAAAATAAAAAAAAACATTAGAAAATCTCATTTGACATTGAATTTAAAACATTATCATACTGATCAATCAATCGATTGGCCATTTTTATAATCGATTAGAAATCGTTTTTTTTTTTTTTGTTTATCAATAATCACGAAAATCAATATCATCATTTGTTTCACCGCAAAAAGAAAATTAAAAAGAATTTTACTTTTTCAAACACATAAAGATAAACATCGATACAATCGATTTTGGACAATCACAAAAAGTTCCTGGTGTTTGTTTGTTTGTGTGGGCAACAACAAAGAAAACAAAACAAAAACAAACGCGTCATTCCATTGGTTTTTTCTTCAGAGCGCCCTAATAGACGATAATTCATAAAACAAACAAATTAAATGTTTGCTGTTCGCTGTTTGTTTTTGTTTGTGTTTATATCCACTTTTCATTAGATTAAATTTTTTATCATTAAAATAAAGAGATGAATCATCAAGAAGAATCCCAATGTAAACAAACAAACAAACAAAAGAATGGCTACAATCGAAATTGGTACCGGCAATTTTCATCATCAAAAGATAATTCCTTTTGTTGTTGTTGTTCTATCTATGTCACCACCTATCTCATCATCATCATCATCATCATGACACCTTGACATGATGATGAAATAAAAATGACAGCCGAACTTTTTTATTTTTGGCAAACAATTTTCAATTTGTGTGTGTGTGTGTGTGTAATAATATAAAAAATTGAAGTGTGTCAGCGATAAACAACACACAGCAATCATAATAAATGACGCACAATATATACACACAATATGTTTTTCCAAACAAACACACGAACAAATGTAATTTAAGATTAAATATAACAACAACAACAACAACGATAACGACAACAACAACAACAAAAATTATAAAAGACCAGAATAGGATCCTCATCATTCATTCATTCATTCATAGTAATCATCACTATACGGCCCATTATGGTCATCATCAATTTTTTTTGTTTTTGTTATGAAGAATCAGTCGGTCGGTTGGTCGTCAATTTTGAATGTTTGGGTCAAAAAAAACATAAACATTCGAATAGAAACACATTCTTTTTATCTGTTGGCCATTGTTTGTTTGTTTGTTGATAATTCATACCAATCCTATTTATATAATGATCATCATCATCATCATCGTCGTCGTCATCGTCATCATTTGGAAGGAACCAAATTTCATTATTATTATCATCATCATCATCATCACCGATATAATAATGATGAATAAGTTATGAAAAAAAAAACAGAACAGACACAAACACACCTGTGTGTGTGTGTGTGTGTGTTGATTTTGTCTATTTGAAAACTAATCCAATTTTGCCATTTTTTTTTTGTGAAAAGGTGTCACAAATACACTGATGATGTATTTTGATCAAAATGAAATAGAAAAAAAAGTTTTCAATTTGTATTTACCATAATGATGACGAATAGATATCTGAATCTAAATCTAATGATTACCATCATTATGATGGGCGCTCATCATCATTATCGGATTTTTCATTTTTTTTTTTTTTTTTGCTGCTGCTGACATGTCACATACACACTTTATAATCATGAAGTGTTGAAAAAGGATGGGTCATCATCATCATCATCATCAAGGGGATGCTATTTTTATTTCACTGAATGAATCAATAAGCAGCAGCAGCAATGGAAAAAAAATGACAAGCCGTTATTTTTGGCTCCAAACAAAAAAAAAAAATTGTTTATTTTGAATATTCAAATACGGATTCGATTCCATTAACACTTATATATGAATAATATAGATGACAGGTGTTCAGGTGTTGTGTGTGTGTGTGTTTGTCCCATTTTTTTGTTTATTTTTTTCTCGTTTTTTGAATGAAAACGATGAAATAATGATGATGATGGAGACAGGATGGATAGATTTCATTAGTTACATGCAATTTGGTTTTTTTTTTGCAATTGCAATTCAGATTGAATATATGTGTAACCAACCCTAACCAAATCATCCATTCGATTAGATGAAAAATTATCTTTTTACCTATAGTGGTAATTGATGAATTACCGAAATGAAATAAATAAAAAAAAATTAAAGGGCGTCATCATCATTATCAATCTGGATTCTATCTCTATTTGATCTTAGTTATTGCAACCATAAATTCATCATATCATCATGGTGCTATAATTTCATTTATATATTTACATATATATGACACTATCAGGTAATAGGTGTGGTCATTTTTACAATTTATGTTCCAAAACCAAAACCAAAAAAAAAAAATCAAAACAAGGGTTACACCCGAACATAAACACAAATTCTGGTTGACAATTTTCATCTTTAGAATTTTTCTATTTTTCATTTGTTTCAAAATCAAGAAACAAGAAAAAAAATTCCAGAATTCATTTGCCAGAATTTTTATACACATGTAGAAATGAATTTAAAAAAAATAAATGAAAAAAACAACAACCTGTTGTTGTTGATTGAAAAAATGTTTGGAATTCTTGTTCAGTAAATCAAGCAAAACAAAAAAAAAAATCCATTTATCTGTTATCTGTGTGTGTTTGTGTTGCATGTGCATCGCTTATCTTTTTCAGGACCAGAAAAAAAATTTTTTCATGGTAATTCAACACACAACACACACTTTAATTTATCTTGAAAATATGATGATGATGTGAACACTATGGGGACAAGAACGAATGAACAAAAAAAAAAAAAAAAATCTCGAAATTCATCAACATCATCATCATCAATGGATAGTGTTTGCCGCACCTTTAAATTATTATTATCACACACACACTCACACAAGTTCAATTCATTGAATTGCATCGAAGAAGAAAAAAAAAAATTGAAAGCAATTCTCTCATTCTACACATGGTGAAAAAAAACAACATATCATATTTGATGCAGAGAAAAAAAAAAACCATTTTGCACATCCGCCTACGGATTTTTTTTTCTCTCTCTCTCTCTGTGTGTGTCTATGTGTTTTGTTTGTTATCATCTTCATCATCATCATCGTTGTCGAACTTGGCGATCATCCATACGAATCATTTCATTTGGATGGATTCAGAGGTCAATCTAGATGTTAGATGTTTTACCCCCTCTCTCTCTCTCTCTTGCTCTTGCTCTTTGGATAGAGAATATACAGAGTTTAAAGTTTGTTCAATCGGCTATATTCCTACCTACCTATCTACCAACCAACCAACCAAACCAAACCAATAGACCAATTCATTCAGAATTCACAATTCAATTCAAATGATAATAACTTGTTGTTGTTATTATGGATGAAGACTTGTTTTTTGTTGTTGTTGGTTGTTGTTGTTCGGCTTTTTCTTGACAGTTGGTTGGTTGTGTTCAAGTTTTGTTGTTGTTGTTGTTGATCTATTATTGAATGTTTCAATTCACTCTATTCATTCATTTATCCAACCAACCAACCAACCAACCATCCATGCACAGGTGAGTTACCTGTTGATTAACATACAGAGAACCTGATCATCATCAGCATCACTACCAGGATGTATTATTTCTTTTATGGTATGTCTAGTGATGGGTAATAATAAAAAAAAATGACTACTACTACTACTACTACTACTACTGCCACTAATACTATCAAGCGACCGGTTTTTTTTAACATTCGTGAATAATAATAATAAAATGAAAACAACAACAAAAAAAAAAAAAATCTCAACACAGCGACCACCAACCACTCTTGAAAACAAAAAAAAAAAAATCAAATCTAGAAGAATTGAATTGAATTGTTGAACTGAATTCATTTTGGTAGCCAAATGCCAATTGTTGTTGTTGTTGTTGCTGCTGTTATTCGAATTCGAATGAATTTGATAATTAAAACCAAAAAAAAAATTGACCAAAGTGAAGAGAAATTCTTTGACCAGAAGAATGTAATGAATGAAAATTTTTTTTTGAAAAAAAACACAGGACAAAGCAAGGAAAAGTTTCATTCAACTTGGTTGTTGAGAAAAAAAAATTTTCATCACAAAAAAAACAGAACAAAATAAGACAAATGCTCTAAATTTAAATGAACTTGACAATGACCATCAATAATCATCATCATCATCATCATCATCATCATCATCTTGAATCAACCACCCTCACTCACACACACACACTTTATCTCTCATGTATTCATCATCAATCAAAAATCATTGCACCGTTTATCTATATCTCCCAACATACATACACACACACACACACACACAAATATGAGATATAAATCTATTGTTATCGTTGTTAATAATGACCTAACCCTGTGACCTATGTGATGCTCTTGATATTTTTTTTCTTGCATCATCATCATCCATTGGTTGGCTGGTTGGTTGGTTTGGTTTGGTTGGTTTGTAGTTATTATTTATGGCCATCATAGCATATCCACACACACACACACACATCACAAACCACAAAATAATGTTCAAGTGCATCATATTTTTTTTTTTTTTACTTTACTTGATAAATCAACCAACCAAATGGGTAGGTTTGAATATGTATCCTGTCATGTCAATGATCACATCAAGTGATGATGACGATGGTGGCCATATAACCTGGAATAAATTTATGATGATGATGATGATGAACAACATTTTTTTTTCGACAATTGTTGTTGTTGTTGTTGTTGAAAGTTATGAACAAGCATCATTGTGGAATGAAGGTGTATACTACCCATTACGATTATGACGATGATGATGATGATGATGATGGCAAAAAAAAAAAATAAAGGATGTTGTGTGTGTGTGTGTGTGTTTATTACGAGAATTGAATTGAAAAAAAATTCCGTATATGTGGATTGATGGTGGTGGGTAGTGGTGATGGTTTTTGACTTTCACCTTTTCATATTTAGTTGTTGTTGTTGTTGACCTTTTGTTCATAATGCACATGCATTTTTTTTTTTTTGCATGAGATTCTCTTTGATTAATAGATGGATATTAATTATGAAAAAAAAATCTCCACCACACACACACACACACTGAATGTAAATGTCAGCTCTATATCATCATCATATACAAATTAAAATGACAAAAAAAAACATGATGACATTCAACCATGATGATGATGATTGTGCAATATTGAACTAAATTGGTGGTGGAACAACAACAACAACAACAAAAAATTAATTCGTATAAATGAATTGTGGCCATTTCAAATGTGTTGACCTATGTTGTTGCTGCTGTCTAGATAGCTATTGGATTCGGTCAAAAAGAAAATTTTTCAAAATCTTTCATTCACCGATTCACATTCAATTCATTCATAGATGAATAGATTTGACAATCAACAACAACAACAGCAAAAAAAAAATCATTCAAGTAGCATCTTCATTTCGGTGCTAATCTTCTTCATTTTATATAAATGGCTTTTTCCACTCAAACCACCATTCAAATAAATGTCCTAAATAGTGACATATGAATGAATGAATGGCGAAAAAAATGACGATCATTGCCATCAATTTTTTTTTCTCTTGGTTGATATTTGCATCGATATGATAAAAAAAAAAAAAAAAAATAAAGAAGAAAATCCGTGTGACATTCGCGTGTATACGTTGTCTGTGAAAGCCGACACACTTAAAAAAAAAAATTTTTTTGAAAATGTGAGATATATGTGTAGATAACCGATAAATAGATTATTTTTGATGGATTTGTAATAATAAAGAAACAGAGATAGAGAGAGAGAGTAAGTAAAGTGAAGAAGTTTTTTGTTTGTTTGTTTGTTAATCAAAAGTAAACTACACACACACACACATCAAGTGAAGAAAAAAAAGAAAAAAAATTTGTCAAATTGACAACCAAAAAAAAATGAAATGTCACATTCAATGTGAATGAATAAAATGAATGAATGAATGAAATGAATAAAAAGTCTAGACTATATATATATGTACATCGTGAATGGTCGTAAATTTTGAATTCATGAATGTACATTGTCCATATTATAGAACGACAATTTGGACACACACACACACACAGAGGCTAGAAATGAGAATTAAAAATTTGGTTTTTTATGGATAATCAATAATGATGATGATGATGATCAATCAGGGTTCATTGGCATTTTTTGTCGATCAAATACAATAATGATATCGATTTGGAATGATCAATGGATTGGAAATGTGGATGGTAATTTTCATTTTTTCGTTGTTGTTAATCTTAATCTTAATTAATTAATCAATCGATAATGAATGGTGAAAAGTTTTTAAAGAATAAAATATGATCACAGCACACACACACACACAAAAATATCCAACAGAAAAAAAAAGAAGATTAAGATTAAGATTGATATCTTTAAGATTGATCAAATCTTGTTATATCTAGCCATTGTTTTGTACATTTCACAATTGTACTTTTTTTTATCTCATATGAATGATAAACACTGATATACATGATGAACAACAACAAATCAAAGGTGTGTGTGTGTGTGTGTGATGGAATGAATTTTTGAAATTTTTTGCCAATCATATCAAGATCATCATCATCATCATCAACATTTATATGATGGGTGTGGCCACCACTCAGAGAAAAATTTTTAAAAAACCGAACCTTTTTACACAGAAACCGGGAATATAAAAAAAAAAATTTTTAACGGGGCTGTGGCCATCATCATCATCATCATATGTTTTATTATCATTATTATTATTATATAATGATAAATCGGATGACTTTTAAATGTGTGGATTTGTTTGTGTGTATGTGTGTGTGATTGGTTAAATTTAGATATAAGAAGATATTCAGGAATAAACAGGCAGGCATCATGTGGTGGTGGTGGTGATGGTGGTGGCCATAATGGTGTGTCTATTTTTTGCACAATTCAATCCACAATGGAGCATTATTTTCTCATCTTGTAAAATTTGGTTGATGATGATGATGCAATGATGGAACGTGAATCAAATTAGATTTACGATTTTTTTTTCATCATCATCATCTTCTTCTGTTTACATTGTAGGATTTTTGTTGTTGTTGATGAGGGCTTAATTTTTTTTCAAACAACAACAAAAAAAAATCCATCTGTTGCCTATTTATAGAGATTATTGGTGTGTGTTGTTTGTGTTATGAAATTTGAAAAAAAAAATTTTTTAACCGACCACCATCAATGAATGATGGATATTTATATATATAAATATTTGTTTCACAAGTAGACAAGAATAACAAGAATCTGTCATCAACCAAAAGGAAACAATATTCACATTATATAACAGAGAGAGAGAGAGACCAGATTTTTCTTTTTTGCACTGAATCTGAATTTCACTGTTTATGTACGTGTGTGTGTTTGAAGTTTTATTTTGAAAAATTTTTTCGAAGAAAGAAAAAAAAATTTGGCATTTAGAAAATTAAGATCAAAACATAAACACAACAGAACAACAACAACAACAACAACAGTGAAATGAATCCAAAACAACAAAATCGAATCGAATCGAATCAAATCGAATGTGTCTTTTTCATGAAGAGAGGAAATGAACTTGTCATGTATGTGTGTGTGTGTGTGTGTGTGTGTGTTAATAGCTGGTTAATGTCGAAATAGATTTTTTAAACTTATTATATAATGGCCTTCAGATCAAATGTTGATGATAATAATGTATTGACAACTTTTTTTTTCTTCTTCTTCTTCCTATTTATCTTTAGGGCAATATATATCGAAATTTTTTTTCCTCGTTCCATTGATTGATTGGTTGATTGATCGATTAATATGTGTTTGTCAATATAATAATAATAATAATAATAATAATAAATAAAGTCATGGCCATGACTGAGTTTTGAGACAACAACAACAACAACAACAAAAAAAAAGATTCGATGATATAATCCAATTTTTAAAGTAAAAAAACAAAATCCATTAAATCATTTCATCATCATCAATGATAATGGTCAATACCGGAACACAATCATCATTAGTTTTGCTTACCTATTCTAACAACAAAAAACGAAAATTTGTCGTAGACATTTATCGCAAAAAAAGTTGATTGTTTGATTATTATAACAGTCGTCAATGATGATCAAAAGTAGGAGAAATAAATTTTGATGTTTCGATTGTTGATTATAGAATCGTTGTTGGACAATTACTGGTTTCGATGGTGACGACAGGATCATTATTCATTTATTTTGGATAATTATAATTCACACAAACACACACACTGAAAATTTTTAACAAAACAAATGGATGTGGATTAATCAGTTGCCTTGGTGAATAATAATGATGATGATGATCGACAACTAATGAAATATATGTGGCAGGACATTGGATTCGAATTTTCAAGAAAAACAAAAACCATAACCATTCGAATTGAGAATGCGCATTTCAATTTCACAACACACGTACACACATGGATGAAAATAGACCAATAGTTTTTCCTGATTTAAATTTTTAAATCAAATTAAAATTGAAAAAAAAATCAAAGATGATCCACAAGATACAATGGATTACTATTACGATAATTTTCTTCAAACCCACCGAAACGAAAGACACACACACACACACATAAACGATAAACTTATTCCGACAAAGTCGAATCGGTAACTGAACTCGAAATTATACCAGACACATACACAATAATAATAAAAAAAACTTATGGAACTAATGGTTCACAATTCAATCGCCTCACACACATCATCCATGTGTGTGTGTGTGTGTGTGTGTATGATGATGATGATGATGATCACAAAACACGCAAAATGAAAACATACAAAAGTTTGATTGAATGAATGAATGAATGAATATGGCTAAAAATGCACACCATACAGAGAGAGAGAAACGGGCCTTTTTAGGCTGGATCCATCATCATCATCATCAACATCAACATCAGATCAACAAGCAAGAAAAAAAAACTAGCTTCAGATAAAAAGCGACAGAGAGAAAGAGAGAGAGAGATTCATTCATTCATGGCAATGGAAGTGGTAATGGCAACAACAACAACAACAATAATAATAATGGATGGATGTCCGCCAATCCTGCTGCTGCTGCTGTTGTCGTCGTTGTTTGTTATGAATGGTCAAAATGGATCATCAAAATGTGTGCGTGTGTGTGTGTGTGTATATGTTACAAAGAGCAAAAAAAAAGCCAGTTTTTTCTTGCAAGAACTAACTACTACTAGTACGGTGTAACTTCGAATTTTAAGAAAAAAACCGGAATTGAAATTTTCATTCATTCACTTTAACCAATTTAAATGGGCAGGTTCTTATCATCATCATCATCATCATCATCCACTTGGTTGATTAATCATAGATGATGATTATCTAAATGGATTTTAAAATGCGAATAAATCCTGTATATTTTTTTTTTTTTTTTTTTTACACATCCTCGAAAGCCGGTTGTTGTTGTTGTTGTTGATAATGATTTTTAAGGTGGACAACAACAACAACAACAACAACAAGAAAGAAAGAATTCAGTTGTTGTGGTCTGTTTGATGTGTTTGGTGAAAAAAAAAAAAAAAAAAATTCACATTTCCAAAAAACTTAAAATGGAAACAGATCCATTTTGGATTGGATAAATTTGGCCATTGGATAATTCCGGTCATTGTGTGGTCTATGGATTGGTGGATCGGTTGTTTTTTTTTAATCTCTGGTCATATTTTGATTTGAATTTCCGTTTCAATTTTCTTTTGATTATTGTTGTTGTTGTTGTTGATTGTTACTGAGAGCTTATTCGACCTGTCACCTGTACACTATAGTGTGGCTATATATGCACAGTAAAAAAAAATGAGAATGGAACAAAACAAAAAAAAACAAAAATACACAAAGGTCAGATGATCATCGTTGTCGGTGATATACACTCGCACACACACACACACACGTCCGGTTGCACTAGTTTTCTTTACAAAAATTTTTTTTTCCATTTGATGTCAGTGTGAATCACCTGGCTTTTTTTTTACTTTCTTTTTACTCTGGGTCTTTCTTTTTTTTTTCTTTCTTTTGGCCTCTACAGTCTACAGTTTTCGACCATTTGAGACGTCTTTAAGATGAAAATGTAGAAAAAAAATGAAATGAAACAAGAAACGAGGACATCGATTGCTTTTTTGTTGTTGTTGTTGTCGTGGCTCAAAAAACCGAAACAAACGGAGAAAAAAAAATGAATCATAATCAAATGTGTGTGTGTGTGTGTGTGTTTTAAAAACCTGTGTGTCACCTGTGAAATTTTTTTTTTCTCAAATTTCGATTTGATTTGTTGTCGTTGTTGTTGTTGTTGTTGTTCCAACAAACAATGCAGTAGCACACTATTTATCTCCACTATAACTAGGCTGAGAAACCCCAAAAAAAAGTTTACGGAAATTCGTATGGATTTCATTAGTGTAGTATACTAGTAGTGGTAGTAAGTGACCAATGGTCAATGCAACTGGTGTTGATGGTGGTGGTGGTGGCCGTTAGAACGGAAACTAATGATGGAAATGATCGTGGGATTTTTTTAAAAAAAATTTACGTTCATTCATTAAATTTTTTCTTTCTTTCTTTTTTTTTTTGTTAAAAAATTTGTAAAAAAAAAAAAATGGACAACGTGTAACCAAAATGTCGGGCGTTTCAAGTGGATTTAACACTGTTGGAATTTTCACACACACACACACACAAATACTTTGAAAATAAAACAAACCAATCTAAAATACAAAATGAAAATGAACAAATCAATCGTCCATGGATTGAATTTTTTTTTGTCCACCCATTAAAATTATGTAATATTTTTACTTCCACTACAATCGTTTTGGAAACAATCGATAGAATCGATAGTGGAACATACACATACACTGATACAGAGCCAATGATTTTAATGAATTTTTTTGTTTTCTCTTTACAACGGAAATGACGACAAACAGACAGGCAACATTAAGAAATAAAACATATTTGTGACATTGTGGAATTCACAATTCTCTCTCTCTCTCTCTCTCTTGGTTGACAGTAAAAAATCAACAAGAAAAAAATGAATGAATGAATGAAAAAAAAATGAGACCATGTGGTCACACCACCCTCACACACACACACACACTGGAATAGCTAAAAAAAAAAAAAATGTCTGTGTGTGTCTGAATGCTAACCACTTGAAAGCACATGTTTTTTTTACTGATAAAATGGAGAATGGAGAGAGAGAGAAGAAAAAAAAATTTAAAAGTCCACTATATATCGATATATCTGAATGAATGGCCAAGCTATAGCCAGATAGCCAGTCAGCTAGCCAGCCAGCCAGCAATCATCGTCCATATGGTCATATGGTACAAAAAAATAAACTAACGACGAACGACGAAAAAAATTTTTTTTCACCATTCAGTCATCAATATACTATGGCCTTTGACCTTTGTTGTTGTTGTTGTTGAATTCTTTATATACGACGGAAAAACTATGAAAAACAACAACAACAACAACAACAACAACAGGCAACGAAATAAAAATAATAAAAAAAAAAACGTAAAATGAACGAATGAAGAGAAAAAAAAATTTTCAAAAACAAAAATCACAAGCATATATACAACCCCAAAAACGGAGACCCAAAAAAAACACACACACACACACACACACAAAGTGCAAGAAAGATTTAAAGTGGCCATTTGGTCAGGAATGGTAAAAAAGATGATGATGATGATGATGATGAAGTAAAAATAAAAAAAGAAATAATGATGGTCAACGGTGCGTATCGATTTTTTCTCTCCATACTTCTGGTTATTATAATCATCATCATCATCATCATCAATTCAGTGATATAACAATAAGCCATACCGATTGGTCATAATATACGTAAATACTAAATGCATATCTTGTGAAAAAAACCAAGACAACAACAACAACAACAACAACATGCATGCATGGATGCCCGAATGGAATGGCCAAATAGCCAGAAAATTTTTTTACTGCAATAACAATGATGATGGTGCACGGAAATGTGCACCATCATCATCATCATCATCATCATCATTCGTAATTATCATCCATTCCATTCCAATCGAAATTGTTATTTGTCGTCGCTAAGAATAAAAAAAAAAACAAAAATTAGATCGTAAAAAAAACTGTCTCCCCCACATCCAGAGGTTAGTTTTTTTCCCCATCTTTCAATGTATAACCACCAAAATTGAAATAGAATCAACAAATGACTGACTGACTGACTGAATGACTGGATAGTAATGATGTGTTTGTCTCTTTAAATTTGAAATTTTAATTTCCAAAAAAAAAAAAAAAAAACAGGAAACGGAACAGATCAAAAACATGATGATAAACATGAAATTCCGATCCGGTTGAGTTATTGTCGTCGTCGTCGTTGTTGTTGTTGTTGATGGAATTCAAATGATGAAAAAAAAATTCTTGGTATCGCCCATCCGTCAATTTGGAAATTAATGTTCTGATTTTTTTTTTCGTTTATTTGTCGCCAAAAATTAAAGAAAAAAAAACAAAATTCAAATTCAACAGGTGTCATCATGTGGCCACATTTCCGTTTGATTCTCTAAATTCAATGGATGAATGAATTTTTAACTTTTAAATTTGAAATTGAAAAGAAAAATAAAAATTATTCGTTTGTTCCATTTCATAAACGAAAATGACCGTTATTATTGGCTAGACATGAAATAAATTTTATTGTTCACTCACGTTCATACCACTTTGCACCTTGACCTGTACACGTATTGGAACAAACAAACAAAAGAAACGTAGAAAAAAACCTTTGCCCAAGTACATGGTTAGTACAATCATCTTCACCACCGTCGGTCTCATAGTCATCATCATCATCAACATCAAGTCATCTGGGCCATATGGTTCGATATATGACAATTGATCATGATGATGACGATGGTTACAAATGTGCAGATGTACATAAAATACACGCACACACACACAACATACACGTGCCAAATGGCACGTGGCATTATTATCGGTTACCAACCACCTTGCCAAGATTGATCCAAAAAAAAAAAAAAAATCAGCACGCGTATTATGGTTGCCATATCATCATCATCGTCATCATAAGTGGATGAATAAATAAATAAAAAAAAACGACAAAGCCAGGTGTTGATCAATATGGATAAATAATGGAGCATCTGGAACAAAAAAAAAATTTGCTAGCACCAGCAGCAGAAGCAGCAGCAACAGATTAGCCGATCCTAAGATGATGATGATGATGAAAAAAACCAAACTTCGGTGATGATGATGATGATGGACTGTTGCATGGATTGTATTGATGGTGTGTAATTCCAGGTGTGCGGGTGCATCTGCATAATTTTTTTTTCGCTGTTATTGTTAATTCATTTATCAAACAAAAAAAACGGGAGATTATCAAACGAAAAAAAAGATGTTTCTTCTTTGCCTACACAGAACATCCATCCAACATGACAACAAGAAGCTTGTGATGAAGAAAAAAAAATTGAATAAATTTGAATTTGAAGTAGCACGTGCACACACACACACACACACAAACTAACACGCGCTTGCTACCTACCGATTTTTGAATCAAATAGCAGAAACACAGTATATTTTTGGCGACATATGGACTTTGGAAAATGAAGAAAAAACAAAATTGAAAGCCAAAACCCCCACCCCTACAGTGGTAGTAGTGAACACAACAGATGTCAAACGTATTCGGTTGAATGTTGATGATGATGATGATGATGATGACATTAGTGACATTATAATCAAGGACATTGAATTCATCATCATAGTCATTAATAAACAGAACCGAATATTTTATGAAAAATAAAATGAAAAACGATGACATTCAACAGGTGACATGTGATGATGCGATAAGACATGACATGACATTCATTTCATGACAATGATTAAGGAATGAAAACCGAACAGAAAATTTACCACAGTGGAACCAAGTGGAACAAAGGTGAAAGAAGAAGAGGAGATGATGATGATGATGATCATTCATGCGATTCGAATTTATTACTTTTTTTTCGGATTGTCATCCCTATAAACAACGAAAACGACAACAACAACAACAACAAGAAGATGGTGATTTTCAAGTTCTGAATTTTTTTTTGTCTTTCGATATCGAAATTTTCAATGTTGACATTCAATAATGATGATGATGACAAATGCAAAAATAAAACAGAAGAGAACAGAACAGAAATGATTCATTTACAAATTCGAATCTATTTCTACTCACAATGGCATACACACTCACACACACATCAATAGATTTCGAATGATTCGAAATTGAAAGTTTTTTTTTCTCTTGTGTTGACTTTGATTATCTTTGATTTTGTTTAAATTCATGAATGGTTCCGGTTGAATTATTGCATCATCATCATCATGAGATCCTGCAGAAAAAAAAATGATGATTATTATGATGATGATGATGGTAATATATCGTCCAAAACAACAACAATGGTATAATATATGTGAATGATGATTATTATTATCCAAATGTAGAAAAAAAAGATAATTATTTCAACTTTTGTTGTTGTTGTTGTTGTTGTTGATGATAATTAGAATGAAAAATGGACAAAAATCATCGTCATAATTGTTGTTGTTGTGTTCCAAGATTTTTTTTGTTCTGAAACACTAACAACAACAACAACGGCAACAACAACAAAGTTTTTGATTAAAACACAAACAGGTAAGCATTATGATGATGATGATCATATTTTTTTTTTAATTAATTAAGGACTTTTAATTTAGGAAAAAAAAAACGAACGATGTCGCTTTTCTTTTTTCAGTAATACAGAAGAGAATTCCCATTTCTCGTCATAACTGCTTTGTTTAAAAAAAACGAAACAATCAAAAAAAAACAGCTGAGAATAACCGAATTGATCCAGATATAATGATGATGATGTGAATTATTTTTAGTTACAAACGAAAATTGTTGTTGTCCATTGTTGTTTTGATGTGAAACAAAAAACAAAACAAAACAAAACCAAAAAAAACGAATCGAATCTCATCATCATTTTGGAAATTTAATTCTTTCTTCAATCACGTTTCTTTTGTTTTTTTTTATTCGTCATCAATCAATTATATATAGAACATTTTAACGCATCGATGAATTTATTTTTTCTCATTCAACAACAACAACAACAACAAAAAACTTTAAAAATTCTTTCTTTCACCTAAAATCAATCAACCAATCGATTGATTTTTTTTCAATTATTATTATTATTATTCATTTCACCTAAAATGTTGATGATGATAATTTTTTTCTTTCTTTGGATTCAATTTAAAATTTTTCATGCTCGTATGTAGTGGAAGAGGTACGTTTTTTTTTAATTGACAATCATCATCATCATCATCGTAAAAATGAAAAAATTTTATACAATCGATCGATTCTCATGGATTCTATTCTGCCTTTTTTTTGCTTGTTTGCTTGCTTGTTTCACACATGAAACATTCAAAGGTATATATAGAAATTTTATGATCCATATCACAGTTTTTTTCTCTTTGATCATGATCAACAGGTTGTGTCCATGTAGGTAGTATAAATAAATCGATATTATAGCCATTTTTCAATTGTTTTTTTACTTTTAATTAAAAACAAACGAAAACAACAACAACATGGACATAAACAAGAGAACAAAAACCGGACAAAACATGACAAGTAAAGGTGTGTGTATGTCTCTGTGTTTGTTTGGTATATACGATATATTCAAATTAAATCATGACTATCAATACAACAACAACAACAATTGCCATCTCAACCAAACCAGACAAACAAACAAACAATTTTTTTTGGATATGTAAATTTTTTTTAAAACAAACATGGCATTGTATGGAATGTTGTTGTTGTTGTTGTTGTTTTTGTTTCTTGAAAAAAAATGTTGAATATTCAAATAATGTTGCTAATATCCTATAGGCATGGCCCTATTGAATAATGAAGAAAAAAAAATGAAATTTACAAATTAATGAAACAAAAAAAACATACAATACATACCACCTACAATAAATGATGATGATGATGATGATATTAACCAGAGCAAAAACAAATGGAAACGCCCATTGGTTGAAGAGAAAAAAAACAGCCCACCCATAAGAGTGAAAGTAATTTCTGGTTGAGTAATTGGTTGGTGGTCATTGTAATAACATTATTTTTGTTGTTGTTGTTGTTGTTCTGCACATCAATATTTGAATGGGATGTCCAACAATTTGTGTTCCAGACCAGGATATGGTACCATTGTTGTTGTTGTTTATGTTGTTGTTGTTGTTGATGATGATGATGATGAGACCACACAACAAGTGTATGAAATTTGTTGTAAAAAAAACTTATTTACACATGACACTTTTACGATGGATCCGGTTATTATATATGTGAAATAATTTTTTTAAACGGATGGAGGATAAGACGGAATTTCTTGATGGCTTAATTTTCGCCAACAATTCGATATAATAAATTATTCATCATCATTATAATAATCAAAATTATTCGGAATACCAAATCCTTTATCAACATCGGATGAATCAATTTGAAATCGATTTTTAGACCATGTACGTAATTGGAAAATATTATCAGTCCAACGTTCAATAGCCGTTCGTGCTATTTGGCATTCATTTTCCAATTGTTCAACATTGGCTGGATCATAATTCTGGAATCGGACCAATTCTTTTTGTAATTGTTGTTTTTCTTGCTCTAATTTCATTAGATTTTCTTGTATTTCAGCACGAAGTTTATTCTCATCCATTTGTTTGTTGTTATCATCATCATTATTGGTGTGGCTAATAAATGTCGACAATTCATCATCCAGTTTTTTTGATTGTTCTTGTAAAACAATGATCGATTGTTCTAGTTTTCTACATTCGGCTAATTTCTATTAGATAAACATTCGTTGTATTAAATTTAATCCTTGTTTTTCTTCAAATTTTTTTTTTGGTGTTACCTTTTGATATGTTTTACCAGGGAATGACCAAAAATAGGTTGATGTACCAATCTTGTCCGTATCGACTAAATCATCATCGACTAATGAATTCAATACATCTTTGATGGTTTGTGCTGGAATTCCTTTTTCTTTGGATGCAATTTTTTCCAATTCTTTGAGAACGAAAACATTTTTCTATATAAAAATCCGGTAAAAAAAAGAATGACAAAAAGAACGGTTTTGATATATAAATTGAAATTTAGCTCACTTTTTCATGGAAAAATTCCAACAAACGTTTTTGTTTTTCTTCTTGTGTTGTTTTTTTCGATTTTGACTATAAATGAGAAATAAAAAGAAGATAATTTAATGGTGGTAAGAATAAAAAACTTACCATTATGGAAACGAAACAAATAAATCGAGAGCATGGAATTTTTTTTTTTTTTTTGTCTAATTAATGACGAAATTCGAATGCCACCGGCTTTCAAAAAAAAAAAAAAAAAATTTCAATGACCATTCACAAAGGTTGTTGCACACGCAATCTGGTGGTTTGATCATCTGTTTGCTCAAAAAGTTTGTTGTTGTTTTTTTTGTTCTAATCAATTTCAATGGATTAAAAAATGATGATGATTGAAAATCTTGAAAATGAATGTAATCAAGCTCTGGAAGATATTCGTGAGAATATCGGTACAGCCGAAGCTGTCAATATTGAACAAAAATTATGGAAATCGATACAGAAAACACATAAATCGAACAGTTCGGTATGTTATTCGATTCGATAATTTTCATTTTTTCATTTGTTGCAAATATCAGACTGATTGATTTTCTCATTTCTATTGCTTTTAGAATCCAATTGTGATGAACTACCTTATTGGTTATTATAATTCAATGCATGAAATTGTTTTCTTAAATACACAACAATCAAAAGATCCATTTTTATATTATAGCCGTTATGGTTTTGTATCATCAACAGCCACTGCCGCCAATCTGAATCATCAACTTTTATACAATATTCACATACGTCTTGGTGATCTTTATCGTTATGGTGATTCACGTGAAAATGCTAAACATTATTATAAACGTGCATTACATTTGGATCCAACACGTGGATTTGCCTACAATCAATTATCATTATGTACACCATTGACAAAAGCCTATCAATGTGTTTATTATTCTGTACGTGCATTACATTCAACCGAAGAACCGGTTAAAGGTGCTGAAACGAATATTAAATTATCCATTTCACGATTCGATTGTCCACTATTTGAAAGATTTCGTCGCCATTTGAATGTTACAATGGTCGATAATGCCATCACTATTGCCTATCCATCGAATGGACAAGAATGGTTCTATTTGGTTGTGATATCCATCCATTTTAATGATTTAAATCTAACATTTGATCTTTTATTGGATCAATTGCTCAATACTATTGATTGTGATGATAAATCCATACAATTTGATTATCTTCTTATGAGTTTGGATGTTGCTTTTGATTGGATTTTAAAAGGTTAGTGAAGAAAAAAAATTTTGAAAAATTAAAATTTTTTTTTTCAATTTTAAAATTTACAGATCGCAACAATCGATCGACCACCACTACCGCCGTCTCAACAGAAGCATCAGCAGCAGATTCATCGATTGACAATCTAAAAACGCTCAATATTTGGCTACGTTCAAATTCCAGTATGGCCAATGATGATGATGGTGATCGAAAAAATGAAACCGATTGCCATATAGGATTGATACATAATTCGATACTAAAAGATTTTGCACCATTACGACCAATTTATGAACGTATGGAATATTATTATGAAACAGAAATATATCGAATGGATAAACATCGTAAAATATTGATCAATAGATTGATACAGAAATTACAAAAATTTTAATATGATTATAATTATATGTCGAATGTGTGTGTGTTAAATAAATATATCTAAAATTTATTTATGAATTTACAATTTTAACACTTGAATCAATGGTAATAGGAAATTTCAATATATCCAAATCATCATCATTGATTGATATACGAGATTCCAGAAAATCAATGACAAGCGATGGACAGAATTTATGTGCCACTTTATTCAATACCAATTCATATTGGCCATTTTCATATTTAATCAGATAACATAGATCATTGAGGCTTGATTTATTCGAATCCGAATCATCATTTACATATGTAGCACCGATAATTTTTACGGCCTGTAGACCATTATCGAATAATGTACCAGTTTCTTCATCACGTGATACTAACATTTTATTATTGCTGCTGCTGCTGTTGTTGTCATTATTATTATTATTTGCACTATTTTTATAAATTTTTCTTTTACAAAAATTTGAATCATTTTTCTTTTTTAAATTCGTTGATTCTTTTTCCAAATCCGACATGATCAAATTGATCAATTGATTTGGTCGTTCTTCAATTTTTGCTGCTATACGTTTTGATCGCCGTATAGAATTATCATTATTATCGGTGGTGGTGGTGGTGGTGGTGATGGGCATTTCATTTGTCGGATTCATTGTGATGTGTAATGGTCCAAAATACGAAATATAAATAGTTTTTGATTTGATTTGATTGATGATGATAAAAAATTGAATTGATAATTTTTCATTGATAAAAAAAATTCAATGAAAAATAAACATCGCGCTCAAATTATACCATTCATGTAGTACGTTCAATAATGATTTGATCATGATGATGATAATAATAAATCCGATGATGATTTTACCATCGACAATGGTAAATGAATATCATTTTTTTCATCAAATTCAATACGTGATTCAAGAAAATCAAATAGAATCTATGAAATAAAAATTTACATCATGTTCATTAGTTTTGTTTGTTTTTTTTGTGCAACTATAGTCAAACTTACCTGTGGACAGAATTTTTGTGCTACTTTATTCATGACAATATCGCATTGATTATTTTCAAATTTTATTACATAACATAGATTTTTTGTTTGATTCGAATTTTTATCATCCAATTCGATTGCACCGATCACTTTGATTGCTTTCATACCGAAATCAAACAATGTTCCAGTTTCTTTATCTGGTCCTATGATTTTTTTACGTTTTTTTCTATCGTTTGTTCGAATTTCAATTGTTGATGACGTTGTCGATGTTGATGATGATGATGATGGTGGTGGTGGTTGAGATTCATCCAGATTTTTCAATTCAATTTCAAAATCCATTTGATTGGTTTTCGATTCATTGTTTTCTTTTTCATTTGATTTAAATGTTGATTCATTCGATTCATATACATCATACATGATTTGAGGAAAATTGTTTTCTTGTTTGATAAAATCCAATGAAACATCATCATCTAAACCATTCAATAAATCTTCGGAAATGTCTGGTGCAACTTCAATACTGATATCAACATCATCATCACCATCATTATTATCATCATTAATTTCAACCAAATCATTCGATGGTTGTCCATTAAAATGTTCATATTCAATATGTTCAGGTCGTATTAAACGTTTAGTGCCACGATTTGATCGTTTATATTTGGGCATTCGTCGTAATTCATTTTCACGTTTACGCCAATCACGTATACATTTTTCATTGATATTAAAATAACGACTACTAGCACGATTACCGTGTATCTTGGCATATTTTATCACTTTAAGCTTAAATTCAGCTGTATAGCTCATACGTTTCATTGGTGTTGATTCCATGATTCATTGTTTTTTTGTTTGGATGGATGGATGGATGGTGGTGAGTAAAAAAAAAAAAACGAAATTTTCAATCAAATTACATCACATCGTAAAACAACAATTCTGTGAAATTAAAACAAAACAGAATCCTTTTTTGTTGTTGTTGTCTCTTTTTTCACAAGGAACATTCATCGAATACGTGTCATGACGATTTTTTATAATCAAAATTTCAACAAATTCAAATGAAAAGATTTTTTGTTTTGTTTTGTTTTATTGAATGAAAATTTTTCCAATTTATTATTATGGTAAATATTTTTTTGCTATATTAAATGATTTTTTTTCAAACACTTTTGAATGTATAGGTGTATGATGAACATATAATGGATTCAATGCAAATTTTACATATAATTCATAGATTTCGAGAAAAAAATTCTTAATATTATTCTCATCAATACGTGGTGCATTGTGCAATAGTAGAAATTTTATACGTGAATTACCACCAACGAATGCCGTAACAAACCATTCATTGAATTTATCCACACATTTTAAATACATATGTGGTGTTGTCCATGAATGTTCTTCAACCAGATCAAGTGCAGCATGAGCCACAAATTGTGTTAAATAACGATGATCAAAATTACGATCAGCACCTTTTGTTGAATATTCCAATTCAAATAATGGATTATCCGAACGACCAACGATAACGAAATAATAGCTAAAACCAGTGATGCTCATTGCAGCCGTAAGGGATCAAACAACAACAACAACAACAAAAATTGGAATCAGATGACAAGATGAAATTTTGTTTTCAATTAATTTCAAATCTTGATTAAATTTTTCAATGGAAAAAAGCTGGAAAAAATTGAAAATCTATCGAATCATAATAAACTTTACCGAAAACACACCAAATATCATCTGAATTTGAGTCATTCGTTAAACGCCACTATAGCTGACATAGACCTGTCCTATATGAATGGCTAATAAAAATTGTGCGCTTTTTTTTTGTTCAATCAATCTTTTTATGCATGCATGTCATTGATTTGAGTAACAGATGATAACATTGTTAATCAATTCAAATTTTTCGTTATCATTATGGATTTTCTTGAATATTCTGAAGCTTTGAAAGAAGATCGTGGTGATTTGGTATGTATATTCACATCGATCATATATTTTTTTATTATTGATTTAAATCATTCAAAAAAAAAAAAAAAAATAGACTTCGGGTCGATTGAAATTGGCCAGTACACAGATTATATTTAAAAATCATAAAACTGGTAAAGTAGATAATCTTGGATACAGTGATATAAAGAAAATATCATGGCAACGTATGGCAGGCGGTTATTGTGTTCGTATTATGATGAACAATGGTCAAGTATTTCGATATGGTGGCTTCAAAGAACAGGACAAGGAAAAAATTGAAAAATTTGCATCACAATATTATGATCTACAGCTAGAAAATGTTGAATTCTCTGTAAAAGGTTGGAATTGGGGAACCGCCACTTTCGAAGGATCGGTATTGAATTTTGATTTATCATCAAAAAAATCGGATAGAACAGAACGAGCATTTGAGATTCCATTATCGAATGTTAGTCATTGTACAACGGCTAAAAATGAAGTGACAGTAGAATTTCATCAAAATGATGATGCACCGGTATCGTTGATGGAAATGCGTTTCCATATACCATCAGTTGATGGCACTGATCCTGTACAATTGTTTATGGATCAAGTATTGTCCAATGCAAGCATTATTCGTGAAACAGGTGAATGTATTGTCATATTTAAAGAATTACAATGTCTTACACCACGTGGCCGTTATGATATCAAACTATTTCCAACATTCATTCAATTACATGGTAAAACATTTGATTATAAAATTCCCATCACATCTGTTCTTCGTTTATTTCAATTACCTCATAAAGATAGCCGTCAGATATTTTTTGTACTTAGTTTAGATCCACCAATCAAACAAGGACAGACTAGATATCATTTTCTCATCTTATTGTTCAATAAAGAGGAAAATATTTCCGTCAATCTTGGCTTGACTACACAAGAGATTGATGAAAAATATGATGGCAAATTATCGAAAACAATGTCCGGTCCATTGTATGAAGTTATATCGAAAATAATGCGTGCTATGATTCAACGGAAAGTAATTTCACCAGATCCATCATTCTCAAAAGATATGCCAGCTATTACTTGTTCTTATCGTGCTAGTAATGGTCTTATGTATCCATTGGAACGTGGTTTCATCTATCTTCATAAGCCACCTGTTCATATTCGTTTTGATGAAATTTCATCAGTGAATTTTGCTCGTTCAGGTGGTTCAACACGTTCATTTGATTTTGAAATCGAAACCAAATCCGCTATAGTTCATACATTCAGTTCGATTGATAAAGAAGAATATTCGAAATTGTATGATTTTGTATCTAATAAAAAATTACGAGTGAAAAATCGTGGTACTGAAACATTGGAACCTAAAAATGAAGATGAACTTATCGATTCAGATATTGATGATGATGAACCGGATGCCTATCTACAACGTGTACGTGAAGAAGGTCGTATTCGTGAAGAAGTTGGTGATTCCGATGAATCGGATGAATCATTCAATCCAGGTGAAGAAGGTGATGAAGTGGCCGAAGAATTTGATTCAGATGCTAGTTCATCATCGTCATCTGAAAATGATGATGAAGGCGGTGGTGGTGGTGTTGGTGGTGGTGCTGATGGTACTGGCGATGGTTCGGATGATGATAAGAAACGAAAAAAGAAGAAACATAAAGAAAAACATAAACATCATAAAAAAGCTAAACATTCATCGGAAGGTTCCAAAAAAACATCCAAGAAAAAGAAAAAAGATGATAATAAACCTAAAAGACCATTATCGGCATTTTTCCTTTGGATGAATGAAAATCGTGATCGAATCAAAAAAGATCATCCTGAACTTTCATTGACAGAAGTGTCTAAAAAAGCTGGCGATCTATGGAAAGAAATGACAAAAGATGATAAAAGTAAATATGAAGAAATGGCAGCCCGTGCTAAAAAACAATATGACAAAGAAATGCTTGAATATAAAGCCAGTGGCGGCGGTGTTGGTGGAACTGACGATGATAAACAAATGAAAAAATCGAAAAAACCTTCCGCTTCAACATCATCATCATCGCAATCAAAATCACCGATTAAAAGTGGTAGTCAACAATATAAAAGTAAAGAATATATTAGCTCGGCTGGTTCTGATTCCGATGATAGTGAGGATTTGAAATCAGATGGTGGTGGTGGAAAATCATCGAAAAAATCCAAAACAAATGAAAAATCTTCGAAAAAATCATCCAAAAAAGAAAGTAGTGACGAAGAAGAAGAAGAAGAGGAAGAAGAACTTTCAACACCAAGTGAATCATCAGAATCAGATTAACAATTTTTCATTTTGTCATTTATTTTAATTTGTAACCGAATTTTCATTGTCATCAATTTTTAAAATAAAAAATAAAACATTCATAACAAACACGATTGGCAATTGTTGTTGTTTTTTTTCAGTTCATTTTTTTTCTGAGTATTTGAGGTTTTCAGGTTTTTTTTGTTCGTTTGTTTTGTTTTTGTTTCAGGATCACAATCGTGTTATCTCTTCGACAAGATCATCTTGATCAATATAAAATGATGCTGGTAGTTGTTGATTATCGGATGGTGTTTGTTTTTTGGATCGATTGTTTCTACCATCATCATCATCATCATCATCATCGATTATTATAATCGATGATGATCGATTCGAATGTTTATCATCAGCGTTCATCTTTTTCCTTGTATTGTTGTTGTTGTTGTTATTGTTGCTGCTGCTGCTGTTGTTGTTGACAGATATGCTGACTGTACGATAATTTTTTACGGCATCATCATTATCATTATTATTATTTGGTGTGGATGACATACGTGATAATTTTCTACAATGAATTCTTTGACTAATACGATTACGAATATTTGATTGTAATTTTTTATGTTCTAATAATTTTTTCAATAAAATCTTTATGACCAATACACGACCATTACGACATAAGGCTAAAAGGCAGGAATTTTTCGAATCATATGATATTGAAAATATGGCTACATTATCTGTCCATTGTTTCAATATATCATAATATAATGGTATTCCAGTTTCGAGATCACAAATATAGATAGAACCATATTTAGATATAATGAATATAAGGCCAATATAATTATCACAAACAATATGCGTAGGAATGTCATCATATTGTACAAATTGATTCTTTGCTGTTGTTGTGCATGATGATGATGATGATGATGGTGATGAAGACGATGGATGTTGTTGTTGTTGTTGTGCGTTATGGTCTTCTTTGTGACATTGCATTTGTTCATCATGATCATCATGATGATTATTATTATGAAGATTATTATTACGTAATGATGTGAAATTTGTTGTTGTTCGTTGGAATCCATGTAACATTAAATGTTGACTTTTCATTGGACGATTTTTATAATAACTATTAGCTGGATTGGCCGTAGTACTCAATTCGATTATATATAGCTTCCAAAGATGAATTGTATCACGTTTACAGGCAATTAATAAAATTGAATCATTGGCACTTCCTTCGAAACGATAGCCAACAAATGTGGCTACATGTGCATCTATACATTGACTTTGTCCATAGGATTGTGAATGAATTTGTATTTTACCACATATTTCATCTGTAATTAAGAAAGTTAATTGATTATAATATAATAATAATAATAAATAAAAGATATGTGTAATAGCATACCATCTTCAAGATAGAGTGCGGTCAATGCTGACCAATATCCATACAATGGATCGATACTATAGTTGACAATTTGATAATGTTTAAAATCTTCATTCAATGAAAATATCATTTTCGGTGAATTATCATGTAACGATAATTGTTGTCCACTGGGATCCATCATTATGGACCAATGATAAACATCGTCTTCGGTTATAATTGCAACTGAATCACTATTGATCCATGTCCAATATAGACATTTATTTGGAAATTGTACCATACCAAAACAATCATTATCACGTATTGAATAGAATGCAAGCCAATATTCATTCGATACAGCAATAATATCCTGTTCGGGACTAATTTGTGCACAATTTGTATCCAGATTTGTTTCACAATTAATTAATAAATATTCAAATGGATTGATCAATGTAATGACACTTTGTATATTTGATGATTGTGCTGGTGATCTGGCATTTTGCATCATCATCATCATCATTGAATCATCTTTTGATCGAAAATGATTCGAATATGGATAATGATGGTTACGTGCCATTGGAGGGAGATCACGATGAAATTTTGATGATGTTAAATGTTGTTGATGATGAGGCGGTAATGGACGTATAGGCGTTGTTGGAAATGGCATCGAACGTATCGAAGAAAACGATGATGATGATGATGATTGTGTTAATCGATCAATAGTCCAATCACAATCACTTGTATTGGCTGTAGTAGCTGTCGATGATGATGATGAACAGAATGATGATGAATTTGTTGGCGATTGATTCATAATGAATGATTGAAATGAATTTTCCGATTGCATTGATGGTGAATACCATCGATGTGGATGATGGTGATGATGATTATTTCGACGTCCACTAAATGTATTAAATGGTGATGGTGATAATTCATGATGATGATGATGATGATTATTATGATGGCTATGACTATCTTGATGTTGATTATTATTACGTGATTGATTAATAATTCGATGACAACATGATATCCATTTACTACTGGTCATTTTAACCTGATTCCAGCATACATCATTGATTTTAATATTATAATCAAGTAGCTAAATAAAGCAAAAAACAAAAAAAAATTTAAATTTTTGAAAAATGAAAATTCGATTTTACATACATTGAAAATGGGCGATACACGTATCGTTTGTTGTTGCTGCTGCTGCTGCGTTTGTTGTTGTTGATTTGGATGATCTTTCATGGTGGTGATCTAAAAAAAATAAATCACATCAGTTGAATTGGTCCCAGGAAATAAAAAAAAGTTTTTTCTGTCAGTTTTATTAAATGTAAATCAAAAATACTGTGTTTGTCGCTATTTGGATGACGATAATCGATAACCCTGAAAAAAAAATCGCTATGACAATCATCAATGTGATAATAATGACGCCAATACGGTTGTCATATAGATTGGATCCTTTTGACAAGATTATAATATGTCACCAGGGCAAATCACATATGATGATGATGATGATGATGATGATTAAGCCAGGCGTTATTCTACAAAGATTTCGTTCGTTTGTTCATTCATTCTCATCATGAATTGAATGAGCAGAGCAAGAAATTCAATTAATGGACAAAGAGTAGCAGAGAGAGAGAGAAAAAAAAATTGAACTTTTAAAGTTGAAATTCAATTGCAAATGATGTGTCTGATCGCGACTGGAGTTTTATATTCATATATAATATATTCATTCAATATAATAATAACAATGATGGTGATTTTGGCAGTAATTTCATGAATTTCAACGAAAAAAAAAAAAAAAAAATCTAAAAATAAAACCAAATAGTACACAATGATGAATGGTGGTTGGTCTTGGATGATACGGGAAGATGTCAATGCCAATGACGAATAAATTATGCCAATAGTCGTGTGTATGTATGTATACACAAATGATGATGATGATTATCAAGGATTTGTCATTTTTTTTTCTTGCTGCTGCTGCTGATGCTGCTGTTATCTTCGTGTATATAAATGATGATGATGATAAAAAAATTTATATATCGAGGTTAATATCAAAGAGATCAAAGGTTCTAATAATGATTTTATATGTAGAAATCAACAAGTTTTTTTTTACAGAATCAGCAAGTTCAGTCTCAATTTTTTTGTTGTTGATACAAATCAGTGTTTAGAAAAAAATGAAAATGAAAAAGAATTCTGGAAAAATAAATCCCACCAGAAAAGAGAAAGAGAATGTCGTCGTATTGATTAATTATTGATTATTTGTTGTTGTTGTTGTTGTTTATATTGTTGACATTTGATGCTATGATCCACAGAATACCAGCAGTTGGCTCATCATCATCAATGTAATTTATTTATAATTTTCATTCATCTGACAATCACTAGATGGCGACGTTGTATGCTAATTGATTCGAATTTTTTAATTTTTTTTTGACAATTATCATGTTCCGTCCAAAAAATAGAAAAAGTTTACTTACCATATCACACACAATGGCCATTGTTTAATCAATCAATCAATCAATCAATCAATATTGTGTTGTATCGAATATCAACAAACGAAAAAAATTCAAATTCAAATTCGAGCAACAAGTTACCGAAGTTTAAATTCATCATCATCATTTTTTTTACAAAAATTAATCCCATAACCTTGTTTCTACATTTTGTTTTGTTTCAACAACAAAAAAAATATGATAAATCGACAACAACAGAGATGGGGGAGTTTACACCGTACACACACATACACATTTTTCCATTTCCCTTTTTCTCATCATCAACATCATGTTTTTGATGATTTCCATCAAAAAAAAAAAAAAACCGAATTGAATGGAATGAAAAATCGAGAAAATAGTTGTTCATCATGACCTGAAACAACTAACAAAAATCGACGACGAGTTGATATTATCGTTTTGTGTGTATGTGTGTGTGTGTCTCGGGAACAACGTGTATGGTGTGTTTGCCCTCGAACATTTTTTTTTTTTTTTTTTCGTTGAAGCGATTAGGATATGTGTTTGTGTATGCGTGCATGTGTGTGTGTGTGTGTATAGAACACCGTTTTGTCCGTTGTGGAACAGCTTGAATTTTTCATCAAGAAAAACAAAACAAAAAAAAACATAGATAATGACAGCAGCTGCTATTTGTTAAAACAAAAAACAAAAAAAAATGGGCCCCGCCGTAATAAACGTAAATGTAATTTGTCGAATGTCATCCATCCATCCATCCATAATAAATAAATATAAAATGAAAAATCAGCGACAAGAACAAAAAAAATCGGGCTTGCAAAAATGTTCAAGTTCCGAACGTGTACGTGGTGCGTGTACTACGTACACAAATAACATGAAGAAATTGGAGAAAACAAAAAACAAGAAACTAAGCCATATTTGTTGCTAATTTTTTTCATTTCATTTCATTTCAAAGTCAGCAAAAAAAAACTCGTTCCAGAAAGTTTGCCGAAGAAATTGTTGTTGTTCCAAAATACGCCCGCCTATGTGTGTGTGTATGTGATGGTGGAACACGATATTTCAGTTCAGTTTTTTTTTCGCAATTTCAATTTGTGTCCATGAACCAAACTGAACAAGTTGAACTTATCAAGTCGAGTGTGTTGTTGTTGTTGGCAATTTTTAACATTAACATTACCATGTGATTATTATTTCTTCGGTGTGGTGCCCGTTATTTTCATTGGCAAACTTTCTCTCATAAAAAATTTTTTTTTCTTCAACTCAAAGACAACGATGGCGCGGCGGGAGTATGATGTGGAAATTGATCTTGGAACTCGAAAACTAAAGACAAAAAAAAAATGCTAAAATTGTTGAGAGCCATTATATGCAAGTCTCTCAAATCAACAACGACGAAAATTTGCAAAAAAAAATTGCTCAATGCCAAAAGCAGTGAAAATGTGTGTGTACGCGAAGCCTCGAGTGTTGTTTTTTTCCCCTCATTCGATATATTTAATTCAATTCAATTTTTTTTTGAAAATTATCATCACAGAGTTTATCACGGTGAAGAGTTTGTTCGCTTGATTTTTTTTTTTTTTTTTTTTGAAGTTCGGTACGAATACGGTTTTTTTGTTTTCATCTTCTTGGTATTTCGAGGTTGACCTTTTTTTTGTTTTCGTTTGTTTCATTTCACTTTCAAGACGGCACACTTGATTTTTTACTTTTTACTCACAAAGTATGAGCGGAAGGGGATGGAGGGAGCAAGAGAGCAACAAAAAAAAAAAATGAAATGAAACTAGCAGATGTGGTGGTGGTGGTGGCGTTGGTGGTAGTGGTGGTGGTTGCACTTCCTCGAATGTGTGAATACAGCCGGTATTATTAAGACCGCCGTTTGTCGTTAATTAGTTCATTTTCATTGACAGCTATTTGTCTGTTTTGTTCGTTTTTTTATTTCATCATCAATGAGATGATGAGATATATATTCATAAGGAAAAATAAATTGATCGATTTCGATTTGAATAAATTATTACAGAGTTTTTAGTGAAGAAAACAAAAAGGCCCCACAAAAAATACACACACACACACACATACGTTTGATGTGGTCATCCGGTTTTATTTTGATTTTGTGTGTGTGTGTTTTTTTTTTTTTTTTTTTTTGATGGCCGGATACCGTTTTTACGGCAAAGAAAATAGAACAAAAAACAAGATAATGGCCGAAAGATAACAACACAGGATACGGGAGGTGATGAAATTGATATCCATTTCCCTTTTTTTTCGAATGAAAAATCAACAATTTGTTGTTGTGGTAAGTTGCTATTGATGATGGTTGGTGGTGGTGGTGGTAAAACCAAATTAATTGGATTGTCGTTCATGATTGTCGTCGTCGTCGTCGTCGTTGTTCGTCGTCGTCGTTTCATAATCAAAATCATGAACGGAAATCGTAATAACAAGTTGTTGGTTTTTAATGACTAGAAAAAACAAGTGAATGAATGAGTGATAGTGTGAGTGGAAATAATTTTTCCGTTCGCGTCCGTTTTGTTTTGTTTTGTTTTTTTTTCGCCATTCACTACGTAAATTACAAATAAAAATTTGATTGTTTAACAATCAATATCAGAGAAAAATTTCGAAATAATTAAAAAAAATCGGTTATCGATAATTATATAAAGCAAATATAGCAATTTTATATTCTCAACATTCGAATATAAACATATTTTTCGATTATATCGATAGTATCGATAGTATTAAAAAAAAAATTTGATAAATGAATGGAAAAGTAAAACGGCAACAGGAAACATTTTTTATTATTATTTTTTTTTTGCAACCAAACCAAACCGACGACCATCATCCAACAACAACAACAACAACAACAAAAATCCAACAGTCCATCCACATTGGCATACACACACACACACACAACATACGCATACAAAACGCCATTCTCGGCATTCAAGGCAATCGACTATTTTTTTATTTTTTCTATATTCGATTGTCGTCATCAAGCGACCGATTCAAATGATATCTGTTTTTTTTTCGTCCAAACCAGCAAATACAATACAGCAATACAAGTGTAAGCGAAAATGAACAAAAAAAAGAGAAAAACAATATTCGACGAATAAAAATGGATGGATGGATGGATGGATGGTGATCACACACACACACACACAAACATATACGGGCGTGGGCAAATATCAAAAACGGCACATATCAAAAACGAAAATTTGATGAACAAAACAAAAATGAAAATTTTTTTTTCACTTTTAATATTTTTGTCTCGTCGATATATATGACGTTTCCTTTTCAGATCTCCATCTCACATAATTGTGGCTTCTATATCGTATGTTTGTCGTTGTTGTTTTCAAACACCATAATTTGGAAACATTTATTAATCATGACGGATGAGAATTTGAATTGGACAAAAATTTTTCTCTTTATGGTAGAATAGAATAACTGTAAATATCTCCCAAATAGAATAGGGTTTGACAAGGTCGTGGTGGCCGAGAAAATCAAAAAAAAAAAAAAAAAGGATTTATAGATATTCCGATCAATATATATTATTCACATCTGTTTATGCCGCAAATATATCCAATTGATGATTGTCACCGATTTGTTCGGGAATGTATGCAATGAACCACCTGCTGCTGCTACTGCTGCTTGGTGCTTGGTTGATTTTGATGTCAATACGGAACGGCCATTTTTGATTTTCCTTTTTTTTATAATATTTAACCATCATCATGGAAAATGAATTAAAATGATATATTATGATTGACATCACAAAATGATGATGATCACGGTATATACAATTTTGATCAAAAAAAAAGAGAAAAAAAATTTTGTCCACGAACAAACAACCACGATTTGAATGGCCAATTTACACACACACACCATAACAAGTTTTTTTTTCTGTTTATTTCGAACAATTCGAATTGAGTAACGCTATTTCCACTACCGTTGGACTATGTTTTATCTATGTGTGTGTGTGTGTGTTGTTGTTGTTGTTGGTTTGTTGCCATGGCCATCAAAATTCAACAACGTAAACGAAACGGGATGTCTTTAAATGATGGCCATCAATGATGATGATGATGATGATAATATCATTTTCATTATGAATGGCTAAATATGATTTGTTTTTGGTTTTTTTTTTACTTTTTTTGATTAAAATGTAAATGATGATGATAATTTATGTAATAATACATTTTATTTATATTGTGAATAGAAAGATATTTGGAGGGAAAATACCGAACAAGGTGGAAATAGAATAAAATTCGAATGTTTTGATCGTTTGATTTTTTTTTTCCAGTGGGAGAAGAAGAGAATGGGAATGGAAACAAAAAAAACGACCACCAAAAAATTCATTTCGAAATTCATTTTGTCCGTTTTTTCGTTGTTGTTGTTGTTGATGTTGAAAAATTTTCTTCTTATCATCATCATTTTTTTGTTTGTTTGTTTGATATTAAGAAATATTCATCCAACATCTATTCATCCGACTCGTGCAACTCAATTTTTGTTTCCATCATCATCATCATCATCATCATCATCATCATCATCATCATCATCATCATCGTTAACATTGAACAGCAACAACATCATCATCATCATCATCAGCAGCAGCAATGATGATGATTATGTTGAGAAAAAAAAAATGGCCATTCATTCATTTGGCCACCACTACCAACTTTTTTATCCAGTTGTCCAACATACACACACACACACACACACACCGATATCGACCGACAAATGTAATAAATGGTAAAAAAAAGAAAAAAATTTCAATAACAGCATCTCTTGCAAATGTGAATGCAAAAAATCGTTCTTACAACAAAAACAACAAGTGAAAGTAAAAAAAAAAGAGAAAGCGGTGGTTTTTTTTCAATGTTGTTGAGAGCAAAAAAAAACGTCATCATCCGCATCTTTATTCGTCGACAAACACGAATTTTGTTTGGACACATCGGACCATCATCATCATCATCATCATCATCGTCGTCGATCCGATCGAATAAAAAATAAAGCTCAACAAGTTGTTGTTGTTGTTGTTGCTGTTAAGAATGACAAAAAAAAAATATTCGCGGGATATTGAATGAAAATAGAAAAAAAAACGTAAAGCGCGCGCATATACAACATATACAATAAAAAAAAATAGCCAACACGTTACACACACACAGACTGGTGAAATTGAAAAAAAAGAGAGAAAAAGAGGAATTCGGAAAAGAAAGAAATAAAGAAAAAAGAGAGAGAAAGAAAGACTTGAATTTTGGAAAATGCGTCCTTGTTGCGATATTTTTTTTTCATCATCATCATCATCATCATCATCGTTTTCGTTTTGTTTCGTTAGTTTTCCACATCGATATTAATCATCATCATCATCGTCATTACCACCACCACCACCACCGCCACCGCCACCGCCACCATTATTTTACCACATTCGATTATTGTGTGAAAACGTACGTGTTTTTTGTGTGTGTGTTTGTGTGACCAAACAACGACAATAATTCGGAAAAAGAAAATTTACCCGTAAATTTTCCGTTGTTATTTTTCAAAAAAAAATTGTGTTTTGCGTGTGTTTGGTTTTTTTTTGTTGTTTTTTTAGCCAAAATATAATCAAACACTTGTAGCATGTGTATGTATTTTTCAATGCGACTATATGAGTTGGAACAAAAAAAAATTAGCAAATTGGTAAATTGACTTGATGGTGGTTAATATATAATATAATATAAATGGTTAGTAGTGGTTAATATTAATGATGATATTTTGTTTGGTGGTATTAGTGGTAGTAGCATTATCAATCAATGAAATGAATGGTTGATAATGATGATGATATTATCAATCATTATCCAAAAAAAAAACAGGGACCAGAGAGAGAGAGAGAGAGAAATGGAGAGAAAATGAAAATTACTGTTTTTTTTTGTTATTTTGAAGATCATGGACCACCACCAACAATCAACAACCAACAACAACAACAACAACAACAACGACAACGGCAATAGTGGCAATCAATAAAAATTCAGCATGTGTGTGTGCGTGTGTGTGTGGGTCCCGAGAAAAAAAAAAAGATTGGCCGTGGTTCGGTTTTGTGTTCTTCAACCACCATATTTTATTCTTCGATCATCATTTGCCATTCCTGCTCTGTTGATGATAAGCGTGTGTGTGTGTGTGTGTTTTTGATATCAACGGAATATATATAAAAAACAACAACAACATAACCATCCCGTTTTTTTTATCCACTCATTGTGAGGGCATTTTCAATCAATGATATAATTTAATGATGATGATGATGATTGAGATGATAACAATGATGGCAAATTTTCATTTTCAATTTTTTTTCTGGATTTTGATTTTTCGGGTGTCTAATAACTAATAATTTTTTTTTTCGTTTTCAAAATAACAGGCATCTCTTCCATTCATTCATTTACAACAGCAGCAGCCGCAACACCAGCACCAGCAGCTACTACTACTGAGATTTTTTTTCTGTATAATATATATATATGTGAATTGAAATATTGAATTGTCGAGATTGATGATGATGATGATGATAACATCAACAAACCAGAGAAAAAAACAACAAAATCCATAGACCATTTGTGTGTGTGTGTGTGTGTGTGTGTTTACTGCCTGCCTGCATATTATTTTTTGTCAGTTTTTTTTTTGTTGGAAATATAATTTTTTGTCGTCGTCGTCGTCGTCGGTTGTCGTAATAAGTTTCGTCATCTTTTTTTTTTTACTACAACAACACAACCACCAACCACCACCACCAACCAAAAAAAAATCATCATCAGTTGTTGATGTTGTTGTTGAATTTGATTGTATAGTAAATCGAAATTCATCGAACCAAAAAAATAACAAAAAAAAAAAAAATAAATAAACTATCAAACCACCACCACCACCACTTGTTGATGTCGTCGTATTTGTTTGCTTGTCCGTGTGTGTGTGTGTGTGTGTGATGGAACGAAAGAAAAAAAAATGTCATAAATCCAGCTAATCGTTTATCAACGATATTTGAAAAATTTTTTTTTTCTTTTTCGTTGACAAATTAATTGATCACAATGATCATGATGAAACATGATGACTAAACTTTGAATTTTACCCGTTTTATTCGACATCATCGTCATCATCAATTTTCATCAACCATCGTCATCAATTTTTTTTTCAGACTGATCATCATTTACCGAATTGTTCATGACATTCGACTTTACCAAAAAAAAAATTTCCTTTATATTATATAAATTATGACTGAAATTGTATCGACTAATAATAATCAATTGAATACGATAATCATGTCAACACAATCATCACCGGACACTAGTCCACAACATCCATGGCCAATGGGTAAGTTTCATAATTGCAGAGAAAGTAGTAAAAATGACAATTTTCATAATGTCTTTTTTTTCCTGTTCTAAATTCATTTGGATAATATTTCCGGGTAAAATTTTCAATTTTTAAAATATAAAACGATTATATTAGAATTGCGTCGTTTTTATTTCACTTTCTTTTCGTTTCAGCTGATAATTTTTTTTTTATTTGTGTGTGATGTACGTAATATCTATCATTTGTCTATATGTGTGTCTGTGTATTGTGTGAGTTTGATCAAATCAATTAATCATTGATCTTAAATATCTAGTATTTATGGATGTGATGATGATGATGATGATGATGATAGTGATACGCCTTCAGAGTATATATTTTTTATTATTAAAATGATAATAATTGTATCTGTGGATGAAAATGGAATTGATTTATTATTGAATCGTAGTATATATTCTATTTTTTCATTTATTCAATTTTGATCGAATCGAATTATGAATCAATTCGATTTGATAATAATAATTTGATTTGATGAAAGAGAATGTACTACACTATACCTTTTTTGATGATGATGATGATGATGATGAAAATACCAGACAATTATCATTATCATGTGTTTGTGTTTGTGTGTGTTTAATAATATTGAGGGACATACCATACCATGCAATAATATTCAATCATTTTTTTTTTTTTTTTTTTTTTGATTAAATGATAATAACAAACTACTACTACTACTACTATTTGATACTACTACCATGATATTGATCATCATCATCATCATTATTTGGTTTTCATTTTTAATGAATGAATAAATGAATGAATATGATGTGATTTTATTTTTTATTTTTTTTTCTTGATTGATAAATTGATCGATATATCTATCCATTTGAATTTGAATATCATCTTGATGATGATAATGGATCATTTGGTCTGTGTGTGTGTGTGTGTGTGTGTGTGTGATGGTCATCATCATCATTATCATGGACAAACTATCCATGATTTAATCATGATTTGATAATAATCATCATTAACAATATCAATATATGTGTATGTTTGACCCGACACACTACTAGATTATCGTTATATATAATAAAACGTGGCAAAATTCACATTGTTTCATGGTGTTTATCATAAAGAAAATTTAATTTTTTTTTTACTTTGAAAAGAGAACAACGAACAAATCAAATGGTTCTTATGAATTTTGTTTTCTTGTATGATGTTTTTTGTATTTGTTTGCCCTGTATAATCATCATCATCATCATCATAGATAAATATTATGCAAAGAACGAGCTTAAATATTGGACACATTTTCACACACATGCTGGGCATTCGAGGAAAAAAAATGGCCATTTCGGACTGTTGTTGTTGTTGTTATCCGAACCAACAATTGTCGATTTGAAAATGGACAAAACAAAACAAAGACAACTACAATGTTCATTCGACAATGATTCAAGGTCTTCGGACAATCACGACGTCGACCAGATGATGATCTTCAACTCTTTCTATATTTCCTTTTCGAATGTTTATTCTGATGACCATTTTTTAGCCCAGAAGGCAACGAAAATTGTACAAAAAAGAGAGAGAGAGAGAAAAAAAAAAAAAAGACATTTGGTCCACACCCCACACACACACACATATATACCAAAAATCAATTCTAAAATAAAATAGTGATACCCGAATTTGCAGCTGTCCCGAACTTTACCACATGCACATGTTTATTTCATTGATTGAATTCTATATTTTCTCTATTTTCTATTCTTTATAGAAACAACAAGAAATGTGCGTTGGTGGTGTGTGTGTGTGTGTATTCAACCGTGGTGGTATGTTTTCACTATCTGTCTATATGTGAAACGGGCTATTGAGTTTTCGTTCCAAACGGCCACAAAAATGAAAAAAAAAAATTTTTTTTTTTTCGTTTCCAATCATTCCAAGTAACACGGGTTTTTTTTTCTTTTCCTCTCTCGTTCTCGTGTTTTCGTGTTCTCGTGCTTTCTCTTTTTTACTCTCACCACCACTACAACTTGTTGCTGCTGTTATACCTCATTCGACAATCTTTAAACATTTTTTTTTTTTTTTTTTTCGTTGATGATGATTTGACCTCGATGTTTTTCAAAGTTAATTATTCTTGTGTTTTTATTTTTCGTAGTAAGCTTGGCACGGCCAAGTTCGGTCATGTATCCTGTGTGTGTGTGTGTGTGTGTGTGTGTGTTTATGTGTGTCTGTGGTAATAATTTTTGACTTTCATCATGATGAAAATGATTATGATGATGATGATTAGACCGAACAACGACGACTATGACGACGATGAAACTTTTTTCGGGTTTTGATTTTCTCGTAATGTGCAGGGCCAACCCCAAAATCAAATGATGATGATGATAGCTAGAGTGAAAGATAGTAATGTTTTGACCAGGGTCGATTCCAGTTTTGAGCCAAACCCCGAAATTTTCAATTCTCTCTCGTTCTGGCTATGACCGGCTGGCTGGTATTAACATTTGATCATCATGATGGCTGACTGACTGATGATGATTATTATTATTATTATGGCCCCGTAAATTTTTTCTTTTCTCGAGGTCCCAGTTGTATTTTTTTTCTGTTATCTATGCATTTTATATGGGTATATGACTCATATGTACAAGTGTCGGTCGCTTATCATGCACACAGTCCGTGTGTGTGTGTGTGATGACCGACACGACGACCTCCGACATTTTGGTTTATCATCATGGTAAATTGTTTTTAAATAGGAATTTTTTGTTTGTTTGTTTCCTCATATAGCATTGGAACAATGGTTGGTTGGTTGTTTGATTGGATGGCTGGCTGGCTTGCTTGCTTGCTTTACTGGTTGCAAATATGGTTGGCCATTTTTGATCATTTATAACGGAAATAAAAATGGCAGAAACAAAAAAATTGTTATGGATGATTGCCATTGTCGGTCAATGTCCAATCATCGCGAAATGTATATGTGTGTATGTGTGTGTAAATGAATGATGTGAGTGAACAGTGTTAAAGATGAATAAAAATGAAAATTTCCGGTTTTTGTTGCTGTTGTCACAATGTTCAAATTGAATTGTAATAATTCAATTGTAGGCGGTTTTCATTATTGGTTGTTTATTATTGAATTTTTGGTTTTTTGGATCTTATAATAATTGAAAAATGTTTTTTTTTTTGTTTTGTTTTGTTTTTTTTTTCGGTTTGGCTGATTGAATATGAATTATTTAGTTCCAGTATTGCAAACATTAACCGTACTATCGGATGGTGAAGAAGAACAAATGGAACAAAAAATGGGTATTGAAAATGGTGGTGGTAATGGATATGCTACTGGTACAATGACAATGACTAAAATGGCCATTGATAATGTTGTACAGCATCATCATCATCAACAACAACAACAACAATCATTAAGTCCACATTTAACAATTCAGAATCATCATCATCATCAACAGCAACAACAACAACAACAACAACAACAACAAAAACAACATCATTCATCAAATAGTCAAAAACGTAAAGTTGGTAGACCAATTACATCAGTGAAAACGATGAATAGGTTTGTTGAATATCTATTTTTTTGAATTTATTTGATTTTAATTTTTTTTTACCATTCATTCATTCATTTATTAAGTAGATCATTTCCAGCTGTGGATGAGATTCGTGCCAAATTAGAAGCAGGTGAATGTTATGTAAGACCACGTGCATCAAGTTCATCATCTGATGTATGGGCATTATTTCAAGAAGTTGCCTATAAAGATAATCATGTATTTACTGGCATTGTTCAATGTAAAACATGTCATTTTTTAACACGTTATCATGGCCAAATAACCGGTACATCACATATGCGTCGTCATCATTGTTTTTCTTTATTATTTCCAAATTCAACACCAGCTAATAGAAAACCAAAAACAAATAATAATATTCCAGTACAATCAACGAATAATAATCGATCCAATTCAATGAATGGTGGTGGTAATACAACATTCAATATAACGGATGCTGATTCAACGACACCACGAATGTTGAAACGAATGAAAAAAGATTTACCAACCTCAGCTGCTGCCACCTCGATGACAGGAGGTGGACGACAATCATCATTTGTTGGTAATCATTTAAATTTGAATGATACATCAGCAACATTATTATCAGCATCATCATCACCATCAACAACCACAACGTTAACAAATCAAACAGGAGCACATATTACCATACATCCAGCATTACCAAAGAAAAAATTTAAAAATCAATCACATGGTGTTGTTGGTAATAGCCATTTAATTCATCATCATACAACGGATGCAAGATCATTAATATCGAATGGTAGTAGTATAGCGGTCACAATGACAACAAAATCACCAACACCATCTTCATCATCATCATCGTCATCATCATCATCACAATCAATGTTACATCCACGATCATCATCGAATAATAATAATGGCTATAATTCACCATCATCATCATCAACGACAACGACGGCTACAACCACAATGATGAATGGTCAACGAAATGTACAACATATTCGTCAAGATCTCCGTGAAAGACTTGTACAATTCTGTGCTGAAGAATTAGTACCATTACAATCCATAATTAGTGATTCATTTAGGGCTATATTGCAATCTCATCTTCGTTTATGTACTCAACAAGTTTTACAACAATTATATCAACAGCCACAACTTTTAAATCTTGCAACAACATTATCATCTTGTTTAAATCATCTGCCAGCACAATCACCTGATCTGGAACAATTACAATCCTATCAATTACAATTATATCGACAATGTTTGGAACGTATTCGATCGGATGTCAATACGAATCTTGAGGAAAATCCAGGCTCTGCATTGGTCTGTGATTCGGATAATGATGCCTGTATAATGTCTGTGTATTATGTTGATTCACGTTGGCAATTGACTGAAGCAATTCTTTCAGCATCCGGTATGGTTGTTGATATAAATCGATTTGTTGCACGTACCCTAGATGATTATGGACTTCAAGATCGTAAGAAATTGAGTAAATTTACATTCGTATCACATGGTGGTCAATTTGGTGGCGTATCCGTATGTCTAAGTTCAATGGCTCATATTGTAGATAAAGTGGTAGAGGAATCGTTAGCCATTGTTACCGATAATGATAATTGTAATGATGATTCTATGAATCCATTATTGGATCTATTCGATTCGTGCCATGAAATTGCCATTCGTTTGAATTTACAATCAACAATTGAACAAGCTAATCAATATGATGTAGATTGGATTGGTAAATATGAACTATTAAAAGCGATCGACGATAATAGCCAATCGATTGAAGATAAGAATGATATGAAATCTATTGATTTTAAATTGATAGCCATATTGATCAAATTATTGGAACCATTTCATGCTGCATCCAATGAATTACGACAATGTTCAAATCATCCAACACTATGTCATGTATTGTTGTATTTTTATAAATTGAAAAAAGTTTTATCTTCCACTCATAATATTATTGGCATCACTCATCATCATAATAATAATAATCATCATCATCATCATCAAAATAAAAGTAAAAATAATAATAATAATAATAATCACAACAACAATAATACTAAAAGACGAATCATTAATGCCAAATTAACGAAAAAAATAAAGAATACTACTACTACTACTACTACTACTAATACTAATACTAATACAAGTAGTGAATCAGATTCTGATTCAAATGAAGAAAAAGAAACATTTGATTCATTGAATAATAATACGGGTGATAAAACTACTGCAACAACAACAACAACAACAACAACAAATGGTGATGATGAAGAAGAATCAATTAAAGATGAAAATGACGATGATAATGATGATGATGATGATGATGATGATGATGATGATGATGATGATGAGAATAAAGATGATCGAAATATAAATCAATTGATACAGAATCTTCGGCAAACATTAATGGATAATCTGGATAAACATTATGAAGTGCAATCATTACATAGGATAGCAACATTTTTATGGCCAAATTTTCGTTTATTAAAAATGTTAACATCAGATGAACAGAAAGAAGTACATGAAGATGTAAGAAAATTGATTCAAACTAGAGTTAAATGTACAAATCAAGTGAATAATTTAAATGGTCAAAATTCAAATGATAGTGGTAATTGTCATAATCATGATGATGATGATCATAACAACAATGGTTTAGGAATATGTGATGGATCCATTTCGAATGATAATACCGTTGGCGGTGGTGGTGGTGGTAATATGATGATGAAAAATAAATCCAAATCAAATTTCGATGAATGGGAAATATTTTCTGATGAAGATCAAGATGAAGTGGATAAATATCTTTCTGTACAGTTAACATCTTGTTCTGAACATTTTGTATTGAATTGGTGGCGTGAACATTCGAATGAATTTCCAAAATTATCACAATTAGCCAAATGGATATTATCAATACCGGCATCGGTTACAACAAGAGAACGTTTTAAAATTACGAAAAATTGTCATATTGATGATATGTTGCTATTTTTACATTGTAATATGTAAGTTTTTCTGTTTTTCTTGAAAAAATTTTAATTTTTAAAATTCTTTTCATTCAATATAATATAATAGGCAAACGGAAAAATTTGATTTTGCAAAATTGAAACGATCATTGAAACAACAACAACAACAACAGCAGCAATCAACAACAACAACAACAACAACAACATCGATAAAACAAAAAAATCGAAATTCCACTAATAATAATTTTAATGTAGCTACAGCTGCCGCTGTAGCAGCCGCATCAAGTTTAATTGCAAATTGATTGCAATGGATAATTCCTGCATCATAGCAAAATGTTTTCGTTTTGTTTTTTTTTTTATTATTATATCATGACCACCATCACCACATACCATATTCATTTTCTTAGAATTTTTTTTTTTTTTTGGTTCTTCATTTTTAATATAACACTTGTGTAGTCATCACAAACACATACATCATTTTGTTGTTTTTTTTCTCTTTATTTTTTTTTCATTCTTCTTAACAAAATTGTATTGAACTTTATGAACAAATAAGAATAAACAAAGAATATATACTCTCCCCCACCCCCATAAGTGTATGATAAATAAGAATTTTTTTTTATTTGTTTGTTTTCAAAATAAAATTGTAACGAATTTTTTTTTTTTTTTTTACAAATTTCACATTTCAATCTGTTTGTTTGTTTGTGTGTGTGTGTGTGTGTTAGGTAAATGGTAAAAAATTGGCAAACATAATGGTTCCAAGTATGAAATAACCAATGAACCAAATTTGACGAATCATCGTTGCTGTTATTTTCAAGTGTTGTGTAAATAGTGTTGGCGATGGTGATGGTGATGACAATTTATTATTTCGTTTCATTGATTCAAGATGAAATATAGCCCAATATGGCCATGGATTAGATGATAATAGAAAACGATTTGATACTTGTATATGCATGAATAGTATACAGAATGTGGCCAAAAAAATGGAATGTAAAACAAATGGTAAACATTGTTTTGATCCAATTATATTGATAGTTTTTCGTTTGCCGTCCTTGTTGTTGTTGTTGTTGTTGCTGTTTTTCATTTGTGTACAATCGATGAACATTGAAATATTCTTCTGTTGTCTATAAACCAGTGTTGATAAAAAGAATTTAAAATTTATATAAAAATATTCATATGATGAATAAAGAATAACAAAAAGAATTGGAATGGCAAGTAGAAAATTTGGCAATTGTTTCCATTGATAATATCGTAATAGGCCAATATTCCAATATTTAGCTTGTATAGCTTGATATGATAAAGGAATAGAATAGTTACACCATTGTGGTTGATGAATAGATTCAGAATTACAGAATAATTTATATGCATAATATTGATATAGAAAAAATGGTATCATGATCATTATCACAAAAATAATGGTGTTGAATAAATTTTTCAATATCAAAAATATTTTCAAAGAATTTTTTCGCCATGGATGATTCATATATTCAAGCCAAGTATGGCAAATTTGATAGAAAATGATGTAACCAATTGATAAGAATCCTATTAAGAACAAAAAATGTAAACAAACGCATTAAAATGGGACACAAATATATATTATACAATGAAAATGTTTACCATTTGATCTTGTGAATGCACTCATTGCAAATAATAATGATGCATTGAATGGATTGTGGCCAATATATAAACAACAAAATGCAGCCAATGTCAATGCTGTAAATAATGATTCTGTATAACAAGCTGTAAAGAATATTGATGCTGGATTATAGATGAATAATTCAACAATCTTTATGATATCATCATCACCATCGCCATTATTATGATTGTGGTAAAAAAAATGTTGACTTAATTCAAATAGTAAACAGGCAGAAAAACAAAAACAAATTAAATTAACAATATATGCAGAAATGATTATACATGTAATCCAATGTAATTTAACCAACAATATGGTGGATAATATTGATGCAAATATTCGTATTATTAATGGATAAAATGGAAAAAATGCCAACATTTGTTCATCAGTATTATAATAGCCACCATAATTGGCAATAGTGATAAAATATTGACCATCCCATGATATGAATGGTTTCATGGCCATAATTATTATTGTTTCTAGCCATCCATTTTGTTTAGAATTGTTAAAATGTTCATAGATCAATTCATTATGATATGCATCAGCCATATGATCCGGTATGAATAGATCGGCAATAATGGCCAAAATTGTCAATTGAATACGTGATTGAATACATTTTTTAATGATTATTGACCAATAATTTTTTCTATTATCATTTGACCATGGCATTATTCTGATTTATATTAAAATTCAGAATGAAAAATAAACAAGAAATAAACAAAAAATAAAAAATCCAAACACCAAACCCAATTGGCATGAGGTTTTTTTTTCGGCAATAAAAGATATAATATAAACACGCGCATGTACCAAAGTGAATTCTGTTTTCCTTTCATCCACTGATGCTACTATCATTATTGTAGTAGAAGTAGCAAAAATAGATAATGTGTTTGTGTTTGTTGTGGTGGTATGTGGATATGAAAAAATTTATTTACAGTGGTGCACAACACATTTTTTTTTTTATTTCCCGAAAAAAAAACCTTTGCGCGGCAGATAAATAAAAAAAAAAATGGTACAACCCAAATTTGATGAACGAATAGTATTACGGAATGGAACAACAACAACGGACTGATATCAATTTTTCAAAAAAAAAACCACTGGATCATTGTTGATAGTGGTGGTGGTGGTTGTTGTTGTTGTTGTTGTTGGCTTCTTTCGAAACGAAAAAAAAAACAAACCACAGGAATGCTAAAAGCTAGCTAGTTTTTTTTTCATCTTTTCATTTCTGTCCATTTCGTTGTCGGTCTTATTTCTTCTTGTTCTTTGAATTTAGTTTTTGAAATTTTTTTTTTGCTGTTGTGTTGGTGTGACTCTCTTAGTTCAAAGCAAATATATAACGAGCGTTCATCATCATTATTTTTTTTTGTGCAGTGATTCAAACTTTTCTTAAATCATCATACTGAGACGAAAACTATTTACCGATTCATTCAGTTTTTGATTTCGAATATTCTGGTCTGTGTGTGTGTGTGTGTGTGTGTGCAGTTTTTTTTTGTCGCAAAAATCGAATCGAATAAGAATTTCTATTTCAACGTGTCTGTGTGTTTGGTGGGTTTTTTTTTTGGCGCCATTGTCTACCGCATTTTTTTTGTTTCTTTGTTTTTTTTTTTTTTTTTTTCAAAAAAATTCTACTGGACCATGTGATCCATTGTTTGTTTTCTTACAAGCAAGCAAAAAAAAAAAGAAAAATTCCAAAATGCGACCAACAATCGAACAACGTTCGAATAATGATGATGAAGGTGGTGGCGGTGGTGGTGGTGGTGATGGTAATAATCGTCGTCTTTATGATGACAATTCATCACCAAAATTACGTCAGAATTCAATTGATCCATTATTGATCAATAATGGTAACAACAATAAACAACGTAATAATATATTATCATCATTTAGATTTCAATTACCACCATTATCAGCATTATTACGACCATCATCATCATCAACAACATCATCATCATCATTGCCATCGCCAACATCATCTAGTCCATCGAAATCTTCATTCAATAATAATAGAAAGAATCGGGATTATCAACCAAATGATAATAATAATAAATTGTCTTCTTGTAAATCTTCATCATCATCATCATCATTATCATCAATGGCAATGATAATCACATTTTTTATTATGATTATAATAATCATTGCAACAATATCATTCAATTCATTTAATCATCTAAGGAATCGTATTGATCAATTGGAACAAAAATATTCATTACTTGAATCTAGAATCATTTCTAATCATCAATGGCAACTACAATCGATTGATGATGATGATGATGATGATTTCTATTGTATCACAAGAATCATTTGATCAATTAATATCCGATATAATTGATGAATGGCAATTACGGCAACATAAAAATGAAATTGATTTCATCATCGAAGATGATAATGACATCGATGCTGCTGCTGCTGATGATGATACGAAACAAAAATTGAAAAAATTTCATAATCGATTCGAACAACTAGTACAAATGGTGAGTACAGATTGTTTTTCGTTTTTCGTTTGAATTTTTCTCTGCCTTGATGATGACCAAAGAGAATTTTTTTTTCAAATCAAATGATAATCGGCTTCGTATTTCTAAAAAGGAAAAAAAATTTGCACTGACCTTTGACCTGAAGCAAATTATACATCTTGGCCTTCGATGTTTGCATCGTTTCTATTTTCTATTTTTTTTTTTTAAAAAAAAAAACAAACAAACAAAACCACAAATTGTTAACCTTCGTCTTTGTTCATATTCATACTGGTTGTGTTTATGTGTATCCAATCCCCAACAATAAAATGGATACATCTATCAATCATCAAAGAGAGAAAAAATTTTCTTTTTCGGTTGATATCATCATCATCACCATTCTTGTTTCATTCGATAAGCTATGGCGGCATGATCTTACATGGAAATATTAAATCAATCAATCAATCATTTTTTGTTTCACATGGTTTATCGTTGTGGTTTTGTTTGTTTTTTGATTGGTTTTTTAACATTTCGATGATAGATGTTCAAAAATGATGTTTGTGTTTGTGTTTGTGTTCGTACATGCATGCATGGACAAACACAAACATTTTGTTTTTCGTTCGATATACACATTCGATATGATATATATACTTATCATTATTGCGAATCAAAAAAATGATGATGATATGTTTCATAAATATATGATGATTGCGAAAATGATATGGCAGTAAAATTCGAATGATCTCGATTCGAATAAGTTTGAATTCGAACGATGATGGTGATGATGATGATGATTATTTTTTTTTCAATCATTTTTCATAAATAAAATTTAAATAGAAAAAAAAGTTTCGATTTTAAACAATCGATTTTTGATTATCTATCTATCGTGTTTCGGTGTGTGTGTGTGTATCAATATGCCATGTGTCTGTTTTTTTTGTTTTGTTTAACATTCCAAACTCGTCCATGGCCAATAAATGAAATTCAGATTCCAGGAAGAATAACAGAATTCATTGTTGATTATGATGATACGAATTTTGTTTCAAATGTATTTTTGCGAATGGATTCGTTTTGGAATTTCAACAAAAACAACAACAACGACAACAAAATTTTTCTGTCTTTTCTCTCTCTAGTTTTTCACATCCATATCCATATTGAATTGATGGAAAAAAATTGAAAAAAAAATTTTTTTTTCAATTTTCAGATCATTCAACGAATGATGACGATGATGATGATGAAGGATAAAAGAAAAAAAAACGAAAGATTCGATCGACGAATGATGATGTGATGGCTTATATTTTGCTAGTTAGTCACGTTCATTTCATTTCATTTTTCATCTTCTTTTTCTTGGTATCTTGCTTGGTGTGCTTTTTTTCTCTTTCTCTTTGAATACACAAACTTTTGGTTCTTGGATTCTTTTTGGTTTTTTTTTGTTATTTTTCGATTGAATTCTGTGTGTGTGTGTGTGTGCGTGTATTGAACTCGCACATCAATTTTGGCGTGTTATCAAAGTGTTCAAAAATGTTATTATTGTTATAGTTGAAAAAAACTCAAAAATAGAAAAACCAAAAAAAAAAAAGAAAAGAATCCAGAACCCTCGGTAAAAATCGGAAGTTAAAAAAAATCAACAACAAATGGTGTTTGTTGTTTGTTATTTGAACAACAACAACAACAACAACAAATTCATTCACAGACCATTCATTCATTCATTCTGGCCATTGAAACATTCAATGTGTGATGATGTTCAATGTTTATTTGTTTGATTTCATCTGATCTGAATGAGAGAGAAAAAAAAACAAAACAAAACACCAGACACCATTAGAAATCGAAGCTCAAACCACCACCATATGTATGATTTGTAATTTCAATTAATTCTTTTTTTAGTATTTTTTTTTTTTCTGTTGACCCCGTCATAATGATACTGGTGGTTGTGGTGATGGTGGTGACGGTGGTGGTGGTTGTAAATAATTGACGCACACGGCCATAACCCTATATCATAGAGGTCATCATCATCATTATCATCCATAATCGTAGAGTGTGTGTGTGTGTGTGTGTAAGTGTATGAGGCACGAAACTAGAATAACTACCCCCCAAAAAGAAATGAAAAAAAAACCGGAGTCATCATCAGGTTCTCGAATGACAATCATTCATTCATTCATTCATTCACTGATATGAATATGGTGGTAACTTGATCATTTTTTTTTTTGAGCTTTGAATTTGAATTTTTCTTCAAGTTCAAGTTTTTTATTTTCCCATATCTCTTCTTTATTGATATTCAATCAATCGAATCAAACAGACAGACACACAAACCGAGAGAGAGATAGAAATCCCATTAAAATTGACCATTTTAAACAATAAAATTGAATGTCATCTATGAACGACCATGTCTCTCTTTATTTTCCGGTTCATTAATTTTAATTTGAATTTAAAATTCTTTGAACAACACCAGAAGAAAAAAAAAAAAATTAAATCGCTTAAATTGAATTGTCGAAAAAAAAAATTCTACGTTGGTGGCGATGATGTATGTGTTTTGTGATTGTCGTGTACAAAAAAGAAATCATTGCCAATGACGATTCTGTGTGTTTTTCTATCTGGAGAAATTGTTGTCCAGAGAATTAAATGAGATGCAAAAAAAACGACAACAACAAGAAACCAAACAAAGAAGCTTAACCAGTTTGAACTATGCACACACACACACACACACACATCAATCTCAAAAACACCCGTGATGGATTTTTACTGTCTCTCCATCTCCTTCTCTATATTTGATCTACAATTCGGTGCGATTTACTGTTTTTTATTTTCAATGTACGAAATTTATTTTCGATTTTGAATAAATTACTATTCGCATACACACATATTATTCTGTCTGTATTAGGGAAAAAAAACAAACACTGAATTCTGGATTCAGGAACCGAAAATATTCATTCAATGATCACGATCATCATCATCATCGTGATTAATTTTGATTAATTTTCAAATCTTTTCGTTTCATTTGAAATATCGCACACACACACACACAATATTATTAATTAGCTTGAAATTGGGATCGACAATTTTTGCTTGGTTAAGTTTTTTTTCGTTTTGTTCGTTCATATATGATGCCTGATGTCTCTCTCTATGTCTATTTCACTGAACTCGACTAGACAATGAAATGTGGACCAATGCAAAAAAAAAATTGGTTATCTATCTCTCTCTATTGTGGAAGAAAAAAAAGTCCAGCCCGGAATATTTGTCATTTCATTGTGCATTTTGTTGCAACAACAACAACAACAACGACGATGACGACAAAAAAAGCTGAAAAATTATTTATTAGCAATCGGGAATTAGAAGAAAAACTTTTTTGTTTTGTTTTTCATTGAATTTTCAGTTCACTTGGTCTCTGTGTGTGTGTGTTTATGATAGCTGGCTGCTTGGTGCTTGGTTGGTTGGTTGGGCCAATTCCCATTTGGTCCAATGTTTTTCTTTTTCGAGAAACAAAAGATTTTCTTTTCTCTCTTTCTTTTTTGGTTTGTTGTAAAATTTTCAATTACTTAAAAAAAACTTTTGAAACAACAACAACAACAACAACATCGACGAATTCTTAATGAATCAAATTTCATTTCTTATGAGAAAAAAAAGTTGCAGCTTTTGATTCTTGCTATATTGTTGTGGCGGTGGTGGATTTTGAATTTTTTTTCTTTTTTTTTTGATTCAAAATAATTGATTGAATGTAGAATTTTGTAAAAAAAGTTTCTGTCGCTGTTGCCCACCAACGTCGATACATTAAAGTGAAAATGAACAAAAAAAATTTCAATTTTCAATTGAAATATTCTCTGGTTGAATTTGCAAAAAAAATGGTGAATATATTCTTTATTTGTTCGTGTGTGTGTGTGTGTGTGTGTTTCGTTTTGTATATGTAATATCATCAGAATCATAAATGGTGATTCTGATGATTCTGATGATGATGATGATATTAATGATTGTGTGTGTGTGAATTAAATTCACAATTTCTGTTTAATTTTTTTCCATCTCTCACACACTCTCTCTCTGTCTCTTTTGTTGTTGTTGAAAAGAATCATCATACACAGAATATTCTGGCATCAATAATGATGATGATGATGATGATGGGTTTTTTTGAACGCTTTTCATCATGATTACATTCAATGCGAAACATTTTCCAATTTACCAATTTTTTTTCATATTCTCTCATTCGTATCAATCATCATTATTGATTTAATAATTCAATTCTTCAGTCTAGTAGTGTGAAAATTTTTCAATTTTTTTGATTCTTTAATAGCTTTTTTCCCCGCAATTGATGTTTATGAGTATGGTGTGTGTGTGGTGTGGTGTTTGAATGGTGATTGACAGTTTACAGTGTTTAATGTTTGTTGTTAATACAGAATAATTGATTGATTCAAATGAAATGAAATGGCGAAAAAAAGAAAAAATCATCCGGTTCATAAATGGATAGATTTACAATGGGAATCTTTTATCCATCCAGCCACACACACACATAAAACAAACATTGTGGATAATGGATATTCTATGGGGGTGGCTGTAGACAATTCTTTTTTTTTCATGGAAAGAATCGAAAAAAAAACCTGGAAGCCATCATTTTTTTATGCGTGTGTGTGTTTTTCAATTACAGCTGGATACCAATTTTTTTTTACAGAATTCGGTCATGAAAAAAAATGAAATTATTCCATGAATAGAATAGAATGATTGTCTATTTCCATTTTTCAAATTTACAACCAAAAAAAAGAATCCATGTCAATTGCAGACCGGCCAATTATCGTCATCGTCATCCGAATAGTAGAATCAATTATGATGAAATTCTTTGAATTATTCTGACCACCAATGTTGATTAATTATTATTTGTTGATTTCATTTTACACTAACCACAGAGTTTTCAACGATTTTTGGATTACAATTTACGATTACAATCATCATCATCATCATTGCCTACATCATTGAATGACAACCAAACTCATCATCAATCATCATCATCATCATCGTCGTCGTCGTCGTCATATGAGCAACAAATTTATCGTTTCCGTCGTGAAGCCATTTTACCATCATCAATCAATAATAACCATAACCAAAATCCAAATCATAATCAATTTGGCGGTACAAATGGTGGCGCTGGTAGTTATTCACAATGTATCTGTCCGCCTGGTAAGTATAGTAGAAAACGTTTATGTTTGTTTCAAATTTTATATTTGCACACTAATTTTGACCTTTGACATAAACTGTCATGGTTTATGTATAAAGTGAATGTCATCCAATTAGTACTTGAATTTATATATATATGTTGATGATGACACAATCAAAGAATGAAAAAAAAAATGATCAAATCATCATTATTTAATTGGCTCATTTATATATAAAATGAACATGATGATGATGATTATTATTATTGTCAAACGTAATAATTGATTGATTCATTTCCGGACGTTTAACATTCACATACAGAATGATGATGATGATGATGATGAAAAATAGAAACAAAAAAAACCAATCTTGTGTTTGATGATTATCTCTCTCTCTCTCTGTTTCGTTAAGATTCAAATCAAATGCAATGCAACATTTTATGATGTGCATAGATAAAGGACAGACGGCTTGATTTTTTTTTCTCGAAATCCATAAGCCATAAATAAATATATGGAGAGAGAGTGATGACTGCCAAATGATGATGATGATGATCTATAATCTAGGTTTTCACATTTTAGCCATGGTTTTCATCATCATCATCACGACGATGATGATGATGATGATGATAATGATGGTTTATTCATCATTAATCTATATGTTAAAGTTTTGAATTTTATTCTACTAATAGCAGCAGCCACAGCAGCATCAGCATCTCTCATGAATATTTCACTGGTGTCATATGTCATGATATGTTTTATTTTTTGATATTTTGAGATGTGATGATGATGACATTTTGAAATCAAAATTCAAAAAATTTTTCCTTTGATTAATAGCAGTTGTTGTTGTTGTTGTTGTTGGATGTCGTCCTTTGACACTTGATGATGATTGAAATAATTTTGAATAAAATGAAAAGTGTTTCAATGTTTCAAAAAGTTTTTGGTTGTGTAAGTGTGTGTGTGTGTGTTCATTTTGATTTTTCGTCATCAAAAATTTAACGAGAAATTTCCTAGAAATTTTTTTTTGTCTCTAGAAAAGTAATAAGCAAAGTGTACATTGTTTTGATGGTGGTGAACAAATTGTGATAATTATGTTCATGGATGACATTTATCGTTGTTGTTGTTGTTGAAATGAAATGAAATGAAAAACAAAACAAAACAAACAAAGAAGAAAAAAAAAAGAGATTGAATTCCCTATATATGATGGATGTGATGAGAATATATCTGATTGGTTCACATCTGTATCATTCAATTTTTTTTCACAGAATGCTGTACATACACACACATGTAATATCTCTGCTTTTGTTTTGTTGTTCATTGTTTTTTTGGTTGATGACATTCTCATCATCATCATCAAAGTGGAATTGAAATTCGACGCTATAAATAAATTTTTTTTTTTCGTTAATATTCCCTTGTTGTTTTCATCACCTATTTAACATCAAACTAATGATGATGATGATGATAGTAATCGAGAATATTGAATTTCCATGTAACAAGCAAGCAAGAACAGAATGAATGTTTCCCATTCTTTGCATTTCTGTCTGTGGAAAATTGAAAAAGAATTCAAATTGGTTACAGTTTGAATTTATCTATCTCTGTCTCTGTCTTTTTTTTTCTCTCAATTCGATCATCATCATCATCATTATCAAAGGGCATCGACATTTCATTGACAAATTCATTTCACATAATAGACATACTTGAGTATATTGTTCGTTTTCATTGAATTGAAATAGTTTTGCTGTCGTTGTTGTTATTGTTTTCAATCTGTTCTTAATGATTCAATTTCTCGTTTGATTTGTTTGTTTGTTTTTAATCACATAATGATGGTGATGTTGATGATGATCATGACCGTAACCACATACAATTAGTAAATGATGGCAGTGTTTTTTTTCTGGATTCTTGATTCTTTTCTTTTGAAATTGAATGAATGAATGAATGAAGGAATGGAAATGGATGATGAAATTGAACATACACCCACACAAAACATCATCATCAATGGATCGATTCATGAAAATTCTAGATAAAAAACAAACAAAACGAAAATTCCATTGAACCCATAATAGCAATCGTAGTAGTAGTGTGCACAGCAAAATCATCTTAATGATTTGCCCATTTATATTTTGATCAATGTTCATGGTGAGAGAGGTAATATTATACCCCGGTCGACAAATTCCGATAAACTAAACATTGAATGAAAAAGATAAAAAAAAATGAGAAAATTTCAGTTATCCCAAAAAAAAAACTGTGTGTGTGTGTTTTTTATTGATTATATCATTAAGGTTGGTTGGTTGGTTGGTTAGCTGGTTGATTGTAACTTTGACTTTGATTTTGATTTTTTTTTTTGCTGTTGTTGTTATTCTTTCTGTTGGTGAGATAGCAGAATTTGATTTACATTTTGGATCAAAAAAAAAAAAAAAAAATCATGGCCAATTTAGCCCATTATTTTGTCATTGTCTGTCTTTGTCTGTGTGTGTGTGTGTGTGTGTGTGTGTGTGTGTTTTTTTCGTATTCATTTCATTTCATTTATTTGATGATCTAGATAAGATAAGATAAACATGAAAATGCACTGGTTTGCATTTAGATGAGAATTTTTTTTTCATAATGTGAAATTTTTTTTTCTTTTTCTGAAAATTTCCATTTTCACTTTCCATCTTTATCTTTAAATCAAAGGTCCAAGAGGAAAACGCGGTAAACGTGGATTAGCCGGAGAACCCGGTAATGCGGTAAGTTTGTTTTATGAAACTAAATTCTTGTCTTGTGTTCCGATTTCCATACTATAATATCGATCATTTCCATTTCTAACAATATCTTTAGGGTGCTCCGGGAAAGCCTGGGTTTCCGGTGAGATTTTTGTCTTCTTCTTCTTCTTCTTGATGTGTGAAATTAATTTTTCCTTTTCAAAATCTCTTTATCTATTTCATTTTTCCTTCAAATTTTTTTTTCTCTCTTGATAAATTGATTAATAATCGATATAAATCAGGGAGCCATGGGTATTGATGGCCCTAAAGGAGAACCGGTACGACTATATTGATCTTTTCTTTCTTTTTCCAATCTCCAACGATGATGATGATGATGAATCAGCAGAAAATTAATTAATTAATTCTATTTATCCATATATAAATATTAGGGCGAAAAAGGTGACAAAGGTGACAAAGGTGAAAGTGGCCTTGATGTTATCACTACTTCAAAGGTAAATAAAATAGGTTCCGGTCATTGTTTTATTGATCATGGCCACACACATACACACAAAAAAACTCACACAGTGAAAATCTGATTTTTTTTTTTTTTTTGGTTTTTTGATTTTATTTTTGTTTTTTGCCTTTTTTTTCATTCGTTATAAATTCATTTTTTTCACTACCCCCAACAACAACAACAACAACGACAACAACAAAAAGGGCGTCAAACGATCAGTGACAAGATTACGTGGTGGTACACTTGGTTATGCTGAATTGATTGCCATCAAGGTATTTGTGTGACCCGGTTATTTTTTTTCTGTTCTGTTTCATTCTGTTTTTGTTTATTTCCGCTAATTTTTTCCCTATTTAAAACACCACAAACAAAACAAACACACAAAAATTTTCTTTGCTCATCTAATCTGACTTTTTTTATAACCACAAATAATCTGTTTTTCTCTTAATCTGATTATTAAAAAAAATTTGCTAACAAAAAAAAGGGACTTGCTTCAATGGGCCTAATTGCTACTCCTCGTGATATACTTTTAATGAAAGTGAGTCACACATACACACACACATTGTGTAACAGTCTTGTTTTCGTTTTTTCTACTACTTTTTTCTGATTTTTTTCGTTTTTTTTTATTTTAATATTAATTTGTTGTTGTTGTTGTTCAATAATAGGGCGAACCTGGGCCTGCCGGTCCCCCCGGTCCACCCGGAAATCAGGGTCCGACCGGACTTCCGGGTTTTGATGGTCGAATCGGGTTACCTGGGGATCCGGTATGATATTCATTCTATTTTTGTTTGTTTTTTATAAATTTTTCACAATTTTTTTATAAAAAGGGCCCCCCCGGTCCAATTGGTCCAATGGGGCCAATCGGCCCCCCGGGCCATTAGGAAAAGATGGATTACAAGGACCAAAGGTTAGTCATTTAAAATTCTTTATTTATTTTTCGATTCTTGTTTTTTTGTTTTGTTTGCTTGGTTGGTTGCAATGTTTGGCAGCGGTAGCCGTTTTTGATATCATTTTTCATTTTATTCGAGATTAGTTTGAACACAAAAAAAGAATTTTGTCAGAATAATCGTTTTTCATTCATTCATTCTTTTTCCAATGAAAAAAAATGAAAAGAAATTGATCGATATTTTTATTTTCTTTTTTATTATTATCCGATGCTTTCCATGGATCGTTTGGTTTGTGTATATGTGTGTGTGTGTGTTATTGTTGTTGTTGTTGTTGTTGTTGTTCAAAATGATAAATGAATAAAAAGGGAGAAAAAGGTGAAAAAGGTGAACGAGGTCTAACAACAACATTGGATGGTAATGCATTTCCAACCGGATTTATTGAAGGACCAGCCGGTAAATTTTTTCTGTGAAAAAAAGATACAGTTATCATGATGAATATTAATTGTATATAAATAGGTCCACCTGGGCAACCAGGTCCTGCCGGTCCTGCCGGTCGTAAGGTATTATTATTTTACAAAGTTTTTGTAGTATTAGTAGCGGTAGTAGTTGATGATGTTGAAAAATTGATGTTTTGTCATCAAAAAACAAAAAAAATAGGGCGATATTGGATTACCCGGACCTGCGGGTGAACACGGACAAAAAGGTGAAAAAGGTGATCGTGGTAAACGTGGTAAAAGGGTTTGTATTTCATTTTCATTTGATTATGATGTGTGGGTGTGTGTGTGTGTCTTGAAAAACATTTCGCATCATCAAAAAAAATTTTTTCCCCATTGGAAAACAAACAAAAATCATCGGGGTTTTGATAAGTAAGTAAAAAAGCAGCATGTGATTTTTTTCTGTGTGTATGGTTCAATGTTCGATTGTTGATTTTTTATTCATTTTCACCATTTCAATTGACATTTATTTCATTTCATTTCGTTTTTGTTCGCTCTGTCGTTTTTTTTTTAGTTTTTTTTTCTTTGATTGAAATTGACAATTCACCACACACACACACATTGGGTTAATTAACTCGCTGTTTCTGTGTGTGTGTTTTTTTTTTTTTTCATGTCAATCTTCATTACATTTCATTGGTAGTCGTTTTTTTTCTTTGTCACCCGATCAATTTATTTATTTAGTTTTTTTTTTTTTTTTTTTGACGGGAAATGTCAATTTTATTTTCATTTTTCTTCATTTGTTTTTGTTTCTGTTTCATGTTGAATAAAAATAATGACAAAATATATTCATTGTCCATTTCCAAATTTCATCATTCGTTTAATTATTTAGGGCAATACCGGCGATTTAGGTAAGTAAGAAAATATGCAGAAAATTCACGTTTGTCTCAATTTATCTATATTTGCACACTAATTTAGGGCCACCGGGAATGATGGGTCAGTTATCATGATTATAACATAAAAATTATTAATGAATAATAATAATTTTATTTTATTTTTTATTTTATTAATGAATATGTTAATAGGTCCACCTGGATTGCCAGGTAAGTAAGAAAATATATAGAAAATTTATGTTTGTTTCAATTTATCTATATTTGCACACTAATTTAGGCCCTCCCGGAAAAGCTGGTCAAAAAGGTTTGGAATATATATTTTGAATTTAAAACCAAAAATTCTGTGTTACATTTATTTTACATTTGAAAATTTTTTCATTTTAGGTGATAAAGGTGATCGTAGTAATGGTAATAGTGGTGGTGTTGGTAATAGTATGGCTAGTATGAGTTTTATGAAATCACCACCCGATTATGAAGCATTTGCTGATCGTTCCGAAATGTCTTATGCCCCTGTTCCTGGTCCACCGGGTCCGCCAGTACGTGATTTGATTGATTTATCTGGTTATTTATTAATTTATTTATCATCTTTTAAAAGGGACCACGTGGACCACCGGGCCTTAAAGGTGATTCGGGCCAAAAAGGTGAACCGGTAAGTTTAAATTGTTTTTTGTTTTCAATTCTCGATTGATAGATGGCGCTTGTTCATTGTTTATTTAAATTTTTTATTTTAATTTTTTGTTTTTGTTTTGTTTTATTTCAGGGCGATAAAGGTGAAAATGGATCAATGGGTTTGCCTGGACCTCCGGGTCCTAAAGGAGAATCAATTAATCAATCGGAATTTCCATTCCGTTCGGTTAGTATATATCGATGAAATGTTACCACGCTAATCGAATCATTGATCAAAACTAAACTTGGCTTATATCTATCTAACTAATAATCTGATTATTTCCAATCTATCTTTTTCTTTCTTTCCGTCTGTCTTTTTTTTTCACAATGCTTTCACAAATTTGGATTAATTGCCACAAAAATTGATTGATTGATTGATTATCTGGTGTCTAGAAAAAAACTTCAAGTTTTTTTTCGAAATTCTCAAGACACACACGCACACACACAGATTTAAATTTCTAGTCAAATTTTTTTTTTCATTCTTGATTTTCACAACAAAATATTCAGGGTCCAATCGGTCCAAAAGGTGATTCTGGACCTACGGTATGTTTTTATGGATTAGATTAGATTAGACCATTATTTTCTGTACTAAAAATTTGTAAATATCATCAGGGCAAACCAGGTAAAAAAGGTATCGGTGAAAAAGGCGATAAAGGTGATCAGGTTAGTCGATCGATTGATGTTTTGCGTAAAGTTTTTGATTTTATTATCATCATCATCATCAAAAAAAGGGTCTACCTGGATTGGATGCACCATGTCCATTGGGTGAAAATGGTCTTCCATTACCTGGTTGTGGTTCACGTATATCACAAGTATGTTTTTAGAAAAAAAATGAAAACCAGAAATTTAAGAATAAAAAAAAAAAATATTCTTACACACCAAAACACACAGTATTCACATCATTCCGGAATATCTTCGTCATTGAATAATAAACAGCCCGATGATTTTGATTATAATGGCCAAATAATTAATTCAATGAATAATCAGATTAATAATTTACGAAAACGTCGCCGTAGTCGTCGTGGTGGTGGTCGTCGTTGATGATGATGTCCATTTGATTGATTTGATTTTTTTTTAAATTTTATCAATACCATTATACTGCCAGTCATATCATTTGATTGTCCATCGATTGTTATTGAAGAATTTTTATTTCATTTCATTCAATCATTCGTTTTTTTGCTACCTTTTTACATTTGAAAAACCTTTTTAATATTCAAAAAAAAAAAAAAAAATTTAATCAAATTGTGTCTTTGTGTGTGTGTGTCTGTCCACAAACATATCAATACAATGAATATTTGTTGTTGATCGATATCAATCAATCAATCATCAATTGATTCAATTGGTTTTCTTTTTCCATCCAATTGTAAGCTTTTGCATTTGTTTTTTTTTTTGTTGCCGTTTTTTTAAAAAATTGATTTTTTTTTTGATTTGCCGGCCAAAATTCTAATTTATTCTTGTCTCTCTCTCTCTTTTTTGTATTCTTTGTTCATGAATTTAGATGAATCCAACAGCACAGGCACGCCGTGCACGACATCAAACACATCATAATAATCAACGTTATAATTTCAATAATCACAACAACAATAATAATAATAATCGTCGAACAATTGCCTTTGAACAATGACCATAAAAATTGAATTGAATCAATCAACACACACACACACAAATTCAAATAATAGAATTCTTCAACTTTTTTTTCTGTCATTTCTTTACTTTTCATGTAATTTTCACTATTGAATTTTCAATATACCAAAATGATGATGATATAATAAAAATTATCACCCAATTTAAGCAACCAATAACCGTGGTTAAAATATTGTTGAATAACGATATCTATGAATGAATAATTATATTGATGAAAATGCATTTATTGCCTAGCAAGAAACACACGTGGTTTCGAACTAACTAAAATTTTTGTGTTGTTAAAAAAAATAAAAACATTTTATTATAAAACATAAATTTCGTTTTCTTCCATCCTCAACAGTACTTAATCTTGTATCCATTGTTTGAATTCAGGTAAACTGTAAAATTAAGATGGACCTCATTACCCATTGATGCTTTTAAACATGGATTAATGAACTGTGTTCAAGAAAATTCAGTTTCAATAAGGATGGCCAATATTTATGTATAAAATTAATGAACAGTCCCTTCAAAAGAAAATGATCCATCAACATCGGAATAGGACATTATCATAATTTTACCATAACGAAGTTGTTGTAAAATTATTAACAACAGTTTATAATTTAGAAAGCGAATTTGGTTTCAAAACATTTAAACAATTTTAAAGATTTATTTTATTTTTAAATTTGAAATTTGGTTAGTGTTTTGCAGAAAGAGAGAGAGAAAAAACAACATTAAAAAAAGGACAAGAAAAAACACGTGAGTGTTTTTTCTTTTATAATATTTTTTTTTGTTCATGAATGAAGTTATTACATTTTTTGTAACAAAGTTTCTTGAGATCGTCGATTGTTTTAAATTTTTGTTTGTATTCAAGACCCAAAATTTTGATGATGTCATTTATTTGGGGATTTTTTAAAATTTGTTCATCAGTTGCTTCACGTACATTGAGTATAACCCCTTGAAGAGGAAATAGACCATATTTGTTAAGACCAACAACATTAGAATGGGCTGAATGACCTTCGGTTACAATTAGTGTACAATCGATGGAATTTTCAGTTCCGGCATCATAAGCATCTTCTAGTTTAGGGATATCAGTCTTTACTTTTTCATGTTTCTTTGAATGACAATTTTTTAATAGAAATGAAAAAAAATAATTCGAATATTGAAAAATTATTCAAGTAATCAACAAACTTCGTCTCTTTTTTATCGGTAGTAGTTTTTTGTTTTTCTACAACCACTGCCAACACCGAATGGTTCAAAATCGGATTCATTAACGATAAAATCAGATTCATTTGATGAAAATAATCGTTGAATTTTTTTTTTAATTTCAATTTAGAAAACTTTTTCGTGAACCAAGAACAAGTGAGCGAATCGACCACTTTAGCTCAAATGCGAACACAGATTCACACAGTATATGCATATACACTCATATCCCGCTTAACGATGTTTCGATATAACGCTGTACAATTACATTACATTGAATTACATTGTATATATGAAGGGTAAAAATGCATTATATAAAAATACCCCCCGCTTAGTGCTGTTTCGCTTTACGTTCAGAATTTTTGGTATTACTGTAAATGTATATAACATAATAAGCGAACCAAAAAAAAAAAAAAAAACGAACAACGCGGAAAAAGGCTGTAAAGAATGGCAGTTGAGAAATGAATGAAAAGGATATAGAATGCGTAGCAACGACAACTTAGGTAGAAATAGTTTACTTCACAAAATTTTTTCATTGTCAATATAAGCAACTGTGGCGCTCTTGGCGTCACAACCTTGATGAACGACCTGTGAGTCGTGTTATTAAATGAAAAACATGTTTAATAAAGTTAATCATTCTTCTTTCTGAACATATGCGTCGCTACATAAATGGTGACCCTTGTGATAATTTTTTTAAAAAACTTCGTTAATAATTAGTGATATCGGTAAAACTTCAAGAGTTCTGGGAGTCCAACCCGGAAACTTGGTTAAAAACTGCCTGACTTGTTTGTAGTGGAACTAACATAGGAAAAATGAATAAACAAACAATGTCGATGGCTACATATCTCACCTAGTAAGTGATAAATCATCAAAGAAAAATGAATAATGAATGCATTGCCTGACTTTTTTAAGATGGATTTATCAATAATTTCAAATTAAACCGATTTTCAATGGATCATGGATCATTTATCCCAAAAGTTTGATGACGAATAGGGTATGCACAGTCCCGTGTGTTTACCAGTCGCCTCATATAATTTAAATTCTTTTCTAAAATCACAAATCAAAAAAATTGACTGATTGATTGATTGTTTAAATTGGAGAAACAATTAAATGAAAAAAATATTGTGTCGACAAATTTGCAACAATCAACATCATAAGCGATTCCAGAAAAAAAGAAGTACAGTTGATTCTGTTGAATCAATATTCAAACAATTGGAATATATAAAACAACTTTCAGAAGAAATACTGGAAATCTTAGAAAAAGATTATTCGTTGGTGAAGCAAAAATATCCAAAGGAGGAAGATCCTTTTAAAGCTGAAAGCCAAAGAAAGATAAATGAAATGACCAGTTCAGAATCTAGAAAATGACAAATCCAACCTAACACGACCAGTTCGGACACCATTTCCTTTTTTTTTGCCTATGACAGGGGTGCCAATCATATCATTTGATTGTTCATCGATTGTTATTGAAGAATTTTTATTTCATTCAATCATTCCTTTTTTTGCTACCTTTTTACATTTGAAAATTTTTTTCAATTTTTAATATTCAAAAAAAAAAATTTTTTAATCAAATTGTGTCTTTGTGTGTGTGTGTGTGTCTGTCCACAAACATATCAATACAATGAATATTTGTTGTTGATCGATATCAATCAATCAATCATCAATTGATTCAATTGGTTTTCACGACATCAAACACATCATAATAATCAACGTTATAATTTCAATAATCACAACAACAATAATAATAATCGTCGAACAATTGCCTTTGAACAATGACCATAAAAAAAATTAAAATTGAATCAATCAGCACACACACACACACACACACACACACACACACACACACACAAATCAAATAGAATTCTTCAACTTTTTTTTCGTCATTTCATTTTTTTCTTTGCTTTTCCTGTAATTTTCACAATTGAATTTTCAAATACAAAAAAATGATGATGATATAATCAAATTGTCACCCACATTCATTTCATTCATTTATACCTTTTTTTTTCTTCTGGTTTTTTTTCATCCTGATTTATTATCATTATTATGATTGAAATAAACCAAAAAAAAAAAAAATTTTTTTTCTCATTTCATCATTTCCATGTTCTACGTTATATATATATACATCTTAATTGTGTGCGTAATCGATTGAATAAAAACCAAGTTTATCAACAGGCAGCCAGCCAGCCAGCCATCAAGCAAGCAAGCAAGCAACAAGTTATTTGTACACCTGGATAGAAGAAAAACGTTTGTATTTTTTTTTTTTTTTCTTTGTTACGAATTTTGTACAATTTTCATCTTTTAATATATTTTTCGTGTGTGTGTAAGTGAATGTTCAATGCCAAAAAAAAACACTGATGATGATAATAATAATAATAACCTGAATTAATATATAAAATGAAACACACACACACGCATACACAAACACTGATTGCATTTGATTGCCCATTGCCCATTGCCAATTGTATGCATGCATGCATGCATATCAAAACATGGATAGAGATAGATATATGATTTTTATGAATTGAATAGGTATATTATCCATCATCATTTTCAACATATGACAGGCCATGAAGTTTTTCTTTTTTTTTTTTCTTTTTATTTTCATGCATTCATAATAATTCCACTGTTTAGCTAAGTGAAGAAAAATTTACACTTTTCTATCTATCTGTGTTGAATGTCCATCATCCACTTGATTATAAAAAAAAAAAAATGCCAACCAATTATATGATATAATCTACCGTGTGTGCTGATGCAGTTGCAGTTGCTGTTTGCTGTTTGCTGTTGATACGCGTGTATATGAATTTCATTTCAATAACGAAATGAATGGGGAACAAAAAGAGATCACATTTGAATTTTTCAATCGGGGGTGGGGGAGGTGGACGGAAAAATAAAACCAGAAAACCAGAAATTTGAATATAATAATAACAAACATTTAATCGTGTTATTTCTTTTCAATAAACAATCAAATAATAATAATCATCATCAAGGTAGATATGATAATAATGATGATGATGATGATAAATAGCCAGAAAAAAAATGATATGTGACCGGATATATACACCTGTGTGTGTGTGTGTGTGTGTGTGTGTGTGCGTATGCGTCCACGAAATTTATCAAACAAAACAACAAGAATTTTTTTTTTTTGATAAACAACAAAACAAAACAAAACAAAAAATTCACACGATCATTCATCGTCCATCATCATCATCATCATCATCATAATCATCAGGATTGGATGATGATGATGATGATGATAATCAAGGTCAAATTAGAATTTAATTTTTTGTTGTTGTTCTCGTTGTTGTTGTTGTTGTTGGAAATTTTTTTTTTCAATTCTCTTTGTTGTTGTTGTTGTTGATGGTGGTGGTGGTGGTTATTATATAACCAAATCCGAATAAAATAACGAATTTTTGGGTGTGGTTGCACACACACACACAGCCATTGGAAAAAACCTGTTGAATTCGAATTTTTTTTTTAATAAATGATAAAGAAAATAATAATTTTATGCTAAATAGAATGGTGTGTGTGTGTGCGGTAATTGGTGGCCATTATAATAATAAATTCTAGGCGCCCAAAAAAATCGAAATAATGATGATGATGATGATGAAAAAATCGGAATTATCATCATCATCATTGGATATAATACCCGTGGGTTTGTGAAAGTGTGTGTGTGTGTGTGTGTGTGTGTGTGTGTTAGTGTGGATGTGCAATACGCGCTTGCTAGCTAATTTTTGATTGTAAATTATATAGACGATGACTACAATGATGATGATGATGATGAGGAATTTCAAAATTCGCACCTATTTCCACCTCTCTCTCTCTCTCTCTCACATACACTTATTGCACCAATATTTTGTTGAAAAAGATGTGTATTTTTTCTCCCTTTATTCATTCAATTTATCCATAAATCCGGCTTTCTCTAATCACACCATCTTATTAACTAATGATGATGATGATGATGATGGTGA